GGACAAAAATTCTTCCCTTCCTGTCACCTTTAACACCAAGGTATCTGAGATTTCACGCCTCTCTTGCGCCAACACCCTTCGAAAAAATTGAAGAAGAATATCAGGTGTGGCACCGAAATCCACACGTATACTGAAATTGATCTGGTCCATGTAATGTAGGGTAACAGAGAGTTTTCTATTTAGCAAGTGCTTTAAGTCATTCGGAACCGGGGTGTTTGCTACCCAAGGCTCCGTGGTGTACAATGTCTCATCCCGATTTCTTAGTTCTTGGTTTCTGGAAGACGCCAGTTTCCTGCGGGTGTACGCGAGTTCACAGTGTTTGTCCGACGCCTCTTTTTCCAGATCGTGCCCGATCAGGAAGGCCAGAAACTGATTCCATTTCTGTTTCACCTCACAGTCGACCGCCACCGTCTCCTCCAGCACAATGTGGGCTGTTAGAAGGTCATTGTCATCATACCACCGTGGCATATCAAGTGTCCTGATGATCTGAGAATCGTCATAGGCCTCATACCAGTCTTTTCCCTTGGAAAATAGTACAGTGTACCTTTCGGGATCCAGTATTGCAGATGGATCTGGATGGCAGTTCTGCGCCTGAATGCACAAAACCCACATTGTTTTAAACACTGTGATATTGTGACATTGTAATGGCATTCTTATAGCTCATTGACGTGAGGGTCTTTTCAAAAATGTATGAAAATGGCCTTGTTGGCAGATATGTTGCTTTTCCTCATTCTTAATTTTACTGTTTGGTGCTTTCTACTGTCTTTGTTAGTGATTTATTGCTTTATTGTTATATATATGATGGCGATGGCTGTTTGAAAGTGCTCTATAAATACAGTTGAGTTGAGTTGAGTTGAGTTGAGAATTTATTGTATTGAACCGAATATGTGAAAATGGTTATAAAAACACAAAAAAACAAAAGGTCACAAAAAAGGTCAAATAATTACCGGTAAATGATTTTTTTTTTTTTTATTGAATCTATCTTCTTTCATTCAAAAGTCACAGTGACCATATTTCCTCAAATTGTGACTTCTACTCTTGTAAATTGCTCAAATAATTGTAGTGTCACTCAATTGACAAAAAGGCCACAACCTTTCCCTCAGGAAATAAAAGGGTGGAGACGCTTAATACCGCAATTCTTTTATGACGCCATTGTGAGTTTGCATCTTCTCTCAGTGTGTTGTGTGTTGACCATATGTGTGAATGTGAGTGGTTAAAATGTTACTTAAATGTTACTTAAAATGTGTTACAAGTAAACATATCCATTGTTTCCTATGGGAGAATTTAGACGCCAACTATCCCATTAGTGTTTGACCTCAACCTTATATGTATGCAATTGCACCCCACAAAAAGGGACATAAATATATGCTTAAGTGACATACCTGCATAGAGATGTACATCCTCAACTCGTGGACAGTGCATCGAGCAGGAAGGATCACTGACACCATCTCCCCATCTGTACGGTCACCAATGGGGAGCCTCGAGCCAGATCGAAACTCACAGATGAACTTCAACTTGTCCTCTGATCGTTTTTGGGTCCATGCGAGTGAGTTGGTAGCAAGCAGACACAGATCCATTGAAGATTGATTGTCCAACAAAAAAAAGTAAATTCATGTAAAACACAGCAAAACACAAAGAGTAACACAAGTGTCACCTTTGACTAGTTTGTTGATGGTGTGGCTTCAATTCAAATTGTGAACAGGTACTGTCAAGGTGGCTGTAACTTTGTTTTTGTGTGTTCCCCTTTTGTGCATTTACAATTTAGTCACTTCTTCATTCACGTACGTCGTAACCGAGAAATACAGCCATAGGCAAGAATTATTTCCCTTTTTGTATCATTTGCATTTTGAATGCTGATATTTAAGAATCTGGTCCACAAACCTCCCAAAATATTTTTTTCACAGCACGTTGTCACAGCATTGACAGAATGAGAAATATAATGTAAAAAAGATCAACAAACGGCAACTTAAGGAGGGTATAGACAGGCTTATTTTAAACATAATTACAGATTTGAGTTGACCGTGAGAAACCCCACACAATCATGATGAAGAAAGAAAAAGCATGTTGTCATACTGCTCTTATAATGTGTGGTACTCAAGTCTCCTCCACCAGACACGTTGTCTGTCATAGTACCAAAACTGACCGGTGCAAGGCAGTACGCCACATGACTTCCAGACTGCTGGAAAATGTAAAGAAAAAGAAATAGTAGGAGAAGAAAAAAACTGGGCAAGTTTCCTCATCCGGTAGCCACATTGCAGTTGCAAATCTTTCTTCATGTCATTTTTATTTTACCGCCGTTGAAGATATCATTAAAAACTAAGAAAAAGAAAAAGGTTGCCAGGTTGTCGACTACTACTACTACGACTACTTTGTGCTATGCCGCTGTCTGGATGCCCTGTGGCACCGTGCTACCTCTCTTCTGTCAATCTCAGTACTATGACAGATATCGTGTATTTGTGGTGTGCTGTGTTAGTCATCTCAAGCTCATCACACACTATAAAATCAGTCAATACACATTTTGTAGTTTTCCATTTATCGTGGGCGGGGGTCTTTCATGTTTGAAAATGGATTAACTTGTTAAAATCAGTGCATGCACCATGCTGGAGAAACAGCTCGGTCATGGGCTCCTCGCCAGACAGCAATGCAGGCATATCTCCCACCTTATTTAGAGCGTGTTTTTACAGAGGCCTCAGCTGCTCCCCAAGAGGGGAGTGGGGCAATGTCTGGAAATAGAAAGGATCAGGGGAAGGTGTAATGAGAAGGGGAAAGATGACCAAAATTCTGATGAAAAAAAGACTTTTTACTTCACTTATTTGTATTTCTCTGGGGAACAATTTACATGTTCTCATTCATTTTTAACAAGTTTCCTGTCAGCAGGAGGGAAAGTGGAAGGAAGAGAATGTTGACAGTCAGCTGTTGCTGTCAGTCGGTCAATCTATGAGGGGAGGGCAAATAAATTGAACAGCATGGAAGGTGCTCAGGGTGATGACTGAGAAGAGGAGATTCAAGGCAGCTGGAAAGTGAGAAGTGGGCGGATCAAAATACAGAGAGAAGAGAGAGGATCATAAAAGAAGACGTACTCCTTTCCGATAGAAGAGAGACAATAAGTATGGCTGCCAAGGGACATGGATGTAAATATAGTGATTAAGTGTACTTAAAAAAAAAATCATTTGTTGAACCATGCTGCATAATAAGCATCTTGAAAGCCTTGTCCAATTAAGTATAAAGTTTACATGAGCAAACGTTTTTGAGTCACTCCGGAATCAGAGGATAATTTAAGCAACAATACTGTATTTTAAAAAAAAAAAAAAAAAAAAAAAAACTAAACTTTTTTGATAGAGCACTTTTAAACAGGCACTGCTGCATGCAAAGGAACAGGGAAGTGGCTGGATATGAAGTAATAGTTCTCCTGCCCGATTTTTGTATAGAGGTGAGTACCCCAGATTTTCCTTGATGATTAATGATCCTCCCTGCGGCTCTCTTCAGAAACACTCAGCAATCATCCGCACATTCCCCGGAAGTGTGAACTCGATGGATGAATGAAAATTCCAAAATGACTTGAGATGCATTGATGTCAATTTTAAATTTTTTTTAGGGTGGTCTCACATTCCTGCTCAGTGCAGCTTTTGTTACCATGATAACCAGGGGCAGAGACCGATCAATGCAACTCGAGAGGCTTGTACTTGTGAAAGCAGGACCCAGAGCATTGGCGAAAACGCAAAAGGTTCAGAAAAGCATTTTACATGTGGAGGCAGCACTTCATAAACCACTACTACGACTACTACTATTACTACTACTACTATATACGTATGGACACCAAACACGACCACTTCAAACCACTTCAACTACTACATTCAAGTACAGTACAGTCAAGTATAAGATGCTAATCAGAAACTAACACTACTAGCTAATGCTACTCTGTGCAACAAAACTCAATGCAGCTCTGCTTAACATTTGGAAGTGACATCATTGCAGGGGCAGCACGGTGGACAACTGTTTAGCCCGTCTGCCTCACAGTGCAGAGGTCCAGGGTTTGATTCCTGTGTGGAATTTGCATGTTCTCCCTGTCTCCCAAGTACTCCGGTTTCCTCCCACATTCCAAAAACACGTGTGGCAAGCTAATGGAACACTTTAAATTGTCGCTAGGTGTGAGTGTGAGCGCAAATGGTTGTTCGTCTGTGTGTGCCCTGTGAGTGGCTGGCAACCAGTTCAGGGTGTCCCCCGCCCACTGCCCGAAGACAGCTGGGACAGGCTCCAGCATGCCCGCGACCCTTGTGAAGATAAGCAGATTAGAAAATGGATGGATGGATGGATGAACTAGGCAGACAACAGCAGACTGGTTGTTTAACCGGACACTTGCACACGTTTTGGACAGGCGCTCCAGAGACCAATTTTTTTTTTTTTTTTCTCTAAGCCAGTAGCAAGTACATTGTCCATAACCTTTCACACCCAGAAGTCAAGTACACACAAAAAAACTACACTCTACAGCGTACACTTAAGCTTTGTGGCTGATTGACATGCTAACTACGAGCTGCATGCCTGCTGTTCTATTTGTCTACTTGTTGAAAGAGGCAGAAGCCAGACGGCATGATAGCTGGAGATGTTGTACACCTGTTTGAAGAGCAACAATCCACTTGCGCTCGATCTTGAGTTACCAGTACACATGTCACAAAGTGCAAGATGAAGCCCGAAGCCATGAGGACGGTCAGAGAGATGGACTCCCGGGGTCGAGCAAGAGGAGGGGGTTAGAGAATCTGAGCATGAGGGGTGGAGAGGCGTTAATCTAAAGTGTGATGTCAGGGTTCCATCTCCAGTGAAGTGCCCAGTTGATCCTCTGCCAAAATAACCTCGACTTGACTGATGCTTGCACCATCTTTCCTTTTTTTTAATCAATGTCACAGAGATGATCCGTTGTCTAAATATGGGGGATTGGATTGGACACATGGGGACGTCCGTCAAGAGATTGTAAATCGGCACCTACGAATTTGATTGGCCGCCTCTGGCCCAATCCTGGTCATTTTCAGGGAAAGTTTCACAGGATGCGAGGGTACTTATGTGAGTGAGGGGAACAGAGTGACTCCTCTATCCCACCCGTGTAGCAGGGAGACATCCTTTCTCAGCCAGTCAACTGTTTTTTGGGGGTGCTTGTTTGCACAACAGCTGGTCGCCATGGTAAGAACCTGAGCGTTCGGGCCTTTTCTCTTATTGGTGTTGAGGATTTTGGCTTTCGCCTGGAGAGGATACAGGAAAGATGTGCGAAGATGGAGATAACCCTCTGAGCAAGCGGACATGCTCAGAGAGAGAGTTTCCGGATTTCTTTTCAAAAGTGTTTTCTTTCAGGAAGTTTATTGTAGGGAGATGATGATGCCGCCATGTTGCACCCGCTTCCAAAAGGCAAAGATCACTTTCGTAACTTTTGCTCTCCTCTGCGAGGTTTTCATCTGCTTTTTGCATCATGCTGTATGGCAGCTAAACCCGATATGATGGATATTTAGATTCGAGCCAGCCGCACTAAAGATAGCGTCACGCACACAGCTGAGTAAATTGAGACAGACATACGGCCTTTTCCGAGTGTCCTAATTTAGGACGCTCACCTTGACAAAAATCTTCCTCAAATCCTTCCTCAAGTCTCGTTTTAAAAATAGCTAAGCCTCAAGGATTTGTGTGCGTGGCCACATGCTAAGATACTGATGATGATCCGTCAAGAGCCAGAAGAGAGGCAAACGTGGACAGTTCATTCTCCTCATGATAAATTTTGCTTTTTTGGTTTTTTAACACCTTGTAGGGAATAAATTTTTGTTTCAACATTTTTTCCATAAAGTGTTCCAAAAATGCCAACAATGCTAAACTTGACATGGCAAATTTGTAAAATGACTGTAAATTGGCAGTATAAATAAAAGCGTCACATTTATATGTACAATATATGAGCACTGTAAAGTTCGGACTTTAAGATGCTGCTGTTTCCCAGTTTTAGCAACTGTGACTTAAACAAAGATGGATTTTAATTTGCAGATTTTCCTTATCCCAAGAGTGCCACATTCTCGTCAATTGTTAGCTTTAACTTCGGTACTCATCAAAATTGGGTTTCTGAATGCATTTACCGGTAGCTTAGTCCTCAGAACTCTGCCAGTGCACATCTTCATCATGGCGAAAACACAACAAATACTTTTTTTTGCGGCATTACCAATATTTTCGCTTCTACTTTGTGTTGTTTCCACTTCATTTCCTATCCATGACTTAAGCTAATTTTGTTTTCACTTGTATCTCTATTCATTCTGCCCTCCCTGAAGGTGCAATATTTACTTACCGGTATTCAGATAATCAACGATACCCCAAATGAGATGCAAAGTTCTCGCTTCACTCTGTTTATTTGATATACGGGTTAACTTGAAGTACTTTCAAAAGACTATCGCTGCCATTATCATTAGCCTAACATAAGTACACTAGCTTAACGGTAATATCCAATAAGAAAATACATAGATGTGCTTATGGAAATAAGCATCATTTTAAACCATCAAACAACCTTTTCTTTATTTTACTCACAACCGACAGTACTTACAGGCATACAGTATATGTGATTCTCTGTTAAGAACTGCTGGAGTTTAGCTTGAGCGTTCGTGTAGTTTGCTAACTCTCTACTTCTTGACATGTTCGATTAACACTACTTGTGCCATGAGGAGACAGCACAATATGTGTAACCAGTGCTGCTCATGTGTGAAATTTCCAACGTTATTTTATTTATATGCGGTTGTGCTCAATATACCAAATTTTCTGGTAATTTCCTCATTAATGGCAAACCCGGACACACAAGGATACCCACTTTGAATGCCCTTTGCTGTTGAGTAAATTATAATATAACATAATGAGGATATGATCATTGCTATGTGTTTTCTGTTATGTTTTGATTTGTTTTTTGAGGGGACGTCATTATAAGATGAGTATACTTATGTACACCATTGGGCCATATACACTTAAATGTATTTTTATTTAATGTAGTATATCTTTGGTCAGTATAAAAAAAAACAATATTTATAATAATAAATAAATTAGATCATCTCAACATCTGTAAGTACAGTATAAAATGATGTGGATGATATGACGGAGACACAAGAGGCCAGTGCTGTTACGTAAATGGTACTACCTAAACTTTTCTGCATTGTCAACGAATAAAACAGTAATTGTTCAGATTTAAATCAACATATCTGACTGTGTAATGTACTTACATTCTACAATTATAGACATGATAACACTAACTTCAATGGGTTATAGTTCTTTAAACAATAGACAAAATGCTCATCTGTAGACGTCATGAACCGAATATACTTAACAGGCTCATAAAGATATATGGTATTTTGAATACTAATAATTCTGATAATGCGACATGAACATGACTCTATACAAACTTGACTCAAATGCACCTTACAAAATTAGTGGTAATACTGCCTAACACCCTCTGAGAGAACATGCAAGGCCTCTATTGTTAGCGCACATTGTTTGCATAACTGTCCTATGATGTTATAAATCTATTTGAGTGAGAGATAAGTTGTTCCTATGGCGACTTGTTTTTTTTTCTTCTATTGTTGATGTTTAACGTGCCAAAACATAAGGAAGACAATCGTGTTTCCCCCACAACTGTTTGGAGGAGGTGCCCAGCAATTAGTCGCAGGATCAGAAATTAAAATCGGATTGGACCATTTGCCTCCATGGACAAATGGCAAAATGGCCTTCTTCAATAGTGTAGTTCTGAACATGGACATTCTACAGAGGAAGAGCAAGGTTCAAACCCTGAACCTCAAAATTATCAGGCACACGTGCTAACCACCAGTACCGTGCTGCCTGCTTGTGTTTCATTATATTAAATTCCAACTTTTTTCTTCTTTTTTTTTTAAATTAGCTTTCTTGCCGCATAAATGTCAGTGATTTTCAAACTTTACCACTCGTACCACTCATGGTACACAAACTCCCTCTAGTGGTCCAGAAAAGAATTACCAAATTGTAGTCCAGTTCTATTGAACTTTTCAGTACAAATATGAAATCTTTGTTTCATTTTGATGACCACCTCGGTCTACTGTGATACTGAAATTTAATGGCACACCATACACTTATGTATATGTATAATAATCAGTCTATTTAAGCTTTGCTGTAATGATTGTTTCCAGTCAATATGTTGTGAGTTCTTTCTCTTCGTATTAACTCGTTTGCCTTTTTCTTAAAAGCCCACCGACGCTCAAAGTGATGCCCGCTCCTTCCTCACTGAGGAGATGATTGCAGGTTAGTCTTTGCTGGCGTACTGTGTATGGACGCAATTTTTAATTCTGAAATATCCCTTTTCAACACCGTCCTGTTTTGTGTCTAGAGTTCAAGGCCGCCTTTGACATGTTTGACACTGATGGCGGCGGTGACATCAGCACCAAGGAGCTGGGCACGGTGATGAGGATGTTGGGACAAAACCCCTCAAGGGAGGAGCTGGATGCCATCATTGAGGAAGTAGATGAGGATGGTGAGGAACTGAATTGTGGTGCTTTGCACAACACTGCAACCAACAACCACAATAAAACACACACAGTTTTGCCAAATGAAGACCTCACTGAACAGTATTATCGGTGTAAAGGCAAATATGCAAATATGGCCCCGACAGCGGTGATCACTGTGTCATGAGAGACCGTTACCAATCTCTGTTCATTGGTTCAAAAATTATTTACTTCCTACAAATAATGTATTATTTCCATCTATCTATGCCAGCGACATTCATTGACGCTCAGAACAATTCAATGTTCTTCTTCAAGATGTTAGAAAATACAATTAGGCTGTATATCCACCTGTTCCCGTTCATATAAAACAATACCGTAAACTTTCCGTGATATTTCAATTTCTTGAGCCGTTAGGTGCTGTGCGATGATGTGCAGCCGAGCTCTTCACCCTCTCTGTTTCTTGCATCCTCTCCCCAGGCAGCGGTACCATTGACTTTGAGGAGTTCTTGGTCATGATGGTGCAACAGTTAAAGGAGGACCAGGCCGGCAAGAGTGAAGAGGAGCTTTCTGAATGCTTCCGTATTTTCGACAAGTAGGCCACCCGGCGTATTTCCCACAATTAAATTCATCTATCGTCTGTCTTGACTGCTGTTTTGGTGAGCAGCAGAGATCAAATAGGCACAGCAGTCAATTTTTACATGAGCGTGTGTGAATGACATTGTTGATAAAATGGGAAAATGAACTGAAACCGTTGACGTTTCTACACATTTGTATTTAATTTAGATGACATGAGCTTGTAAACGTTATCCTTCACACCCAGTGTCTAGAAGCAGTGCAGCCAAGAGAAATGCTACAAAATGAAGACAATAGACAATTTTATGGAAAAAATATTACAATGCTTATTTTCTATCATCAGGAACGGAGACGGATTCATCGACCGGGAGGAGTTTGGAGACATTCTGCACATGACCGGAGAGCCTGTCACAGAGGAAGACATTGATGAGATGTTTGGCGAATCTGACAATAATAAGGATGGAAAGATTGATTTCGATGGTAAATTAGATACAATGGAAATTGATACTTATAACTATGTGCTGTGTTTATTGCTAATATGAGGAACATCCATCCATCCATTATCTGATCCGCTTATCCTCACGAGGGTGGCGGGCATGCCTATCCCAGCTGTCTTTGGGCAGTCGGCGGGGTACACCCTGAACTACTTGTCAACCAATCGCAGGGGCACACAAAGACGAAAACCATTTGCGCTCACAATCACACGTAGGGACAATTTGGAGTGTTCAATTAACCTAAACGGCTTGCGATTGGCTGGCGACCGGTTCCGGGTGTCCCCCGCCTACTGCCCGAAGACGGCTGCGATAGGCTCCAGCACCCCCCGTGACCCTTGTGAGGATAAAGCGGATCGGAAAATGGATGGATGGATGGATGGATCAATTAACCTGCACTCATCTCAAAAATTTTAGTTCACATCACAGGAGACAAAATCGGTCAAGTGATGGCTCGTATCTTGTACTGTCAATACATCCACCTTCCAAGTCAATGAAGTTACGTGGTGTGCCTCAGGGTTCAATTTTGGACCCTGTTTAATTTGTACATGCTTCTCTTGGTGCTGGTATCCGGAGCCATCGAGTGAACATCCAAAGCTACACTGATGATACGCAGGGGTGCATCACTTTGTCTCCACCAGTCCAATGAATGATTTTAACTGTAGATATTCAGACATAAAATCCTGAATGGCAGAGAACTTTGTCCCGCTGAACCAGGATAAAACTAAAGTCTTAGTCATTTGACCTGAGGCCCAGAGAGAGAAACTTTAAACCAAACTACGAGCTCTCTTGTTAAATCCCTCACCACAAGTGCAAACCCTGGGTGTTATTTTAGAAACTGAGCTCAAGCATGTGTGTGCGTTTAAGTGTGCGTATCTATGCCTCAGTGGAGAGCGGCGTCGATTTTAATCTATGTACAGTAAGCTCGTATTTGAGTTGCATTTCATGCATGAAAAGTACTGTGTGAATTGTTTGATTGACTGATTAACCGATCATTGATTGATCGATTGATCGATTGATTGAGTGAGCTTGCAAAACTCGCGAGGCAATGCATGACCAGATATGGCCTCCGAGTGCTTATTTATTGAAATGATGACTTGACTTCTGACTCCTGTGTTAGCATAGATTAGTGACAGACTTCGGCGTGTTCGAATTTATGTACAAATTCGGGCGACATTCCCGCCATAGGAATGGAACCCCATTGTAAAACGAGAACCATCTGTCCTTTGCTTGCGTTGTCGTCTATCTAGCAAACCTGTACTGTTTTGTTGGATTGATGGCTTTGATAGTTGTTTCCACTCTTCATTTAGGCGTCTTTGAGGTGAACCTCTTCTACATCGCAGCATTATGGACTAACTAATGCTTTTTTTTTATTTCTCTCCAGAGTTTTTGAAGATGATGGAGAATGTCCAGTAAAGATCACATTCCCTGGTGACCCTCTTTTTGCCCCTAATAATCAGATCACTGCATTTTTAATTGGCATCATTTTGTTTCGAGGTTAAATACCTTCCACCACGCTGTTCTCATATGAAGCCCGAAGGTCTGGTAAGAATGTCTAAAAATATCCGTCCACCCCTTTTAAGACGAAGACACTTTCCTGCAGCCGGTCCTCAGCTGTCCCTTGCTTGGCAGCTGCTGCTTCTCCTGACATGCTACACCAAGTATTCCCATCAAATCATCCAACTCCTCTTCCATAAGCTGTGGTGTCTTCTGAAATAAACCAACCTTTTTCTCATTGGTTACAAAATGATTGCATCACTTTTTTGTACTGTGCTTCGTAGAAGTCATTCAAGCCCTTTAAACTACCGTTAAGTTAAAGAATAAAATATATACCTTGTTGGGATGGGTGAACATAATCCTGTCAGATGGGCAGGGTTATTCCCAGGCAAGGAAAAAAAAGAAGAAAAATTAAATGGTATTTTTCCCCCCCATAATGTTATTTATAAATAATTGAATTATAATTAATCAAGCAGTTGTGAAATACAGTATAAACAACAATACATACATGTCAAAATATATCAAATGTTTTCCTTTTTTATTTCAATAAAACAACCTTCCAGTGATCTAACAAGACAAATAAATACAAATAGAGCAAAAAACACATTTGAGCATCACCAGAAACTTAGTCCCAATGAAATAAATAAATAAATAAAATACAAGTACAAGATATACTGCTCAAAAAAATAAAGGAAACACTTAAACAGTACTATGTAAGTCCGTTATTTTTTTTTTGAGCAGTTAATATGTGCCCAGTCAGATGGCGCTGATGCCATGCCTACACAGCTCAAAGCCATTAGGGGGCATTTCACCAATTCTTCGGGAAAGATGTTAGAAATCGTGATGTGTACACTGCTTAATTCCAACTAATTAAAAGACATTCCGTTTAATCATGAGAAAAAAAACTATAGCTTTTTCTGCCTTAATCAACACTTAACACCCCAAATACCTGAATTTTTCCACTTTGGGGTTCAGAGGTGACATCAGAGCGATGTCACCTCTGTTTTTGCAAGGGTTGCGGGGGCGTGCTGGAGCCTATCCCAGCTGTCTTCGGGAAGTCGGCGGGGGACACCCTGAACTGGTTGCCAGCCAATCGCAGGGCACACAGAGATGAGCAACCATCCGCGCTCACACTCACACCTACGGACAATTTTGAGTGTTCAATCAGCCTGCCATGCATGTTTCTGGAATGTGGGAGGAAACCGGAGTACCCGAAGAAAATCCACGCAGGCACAGGGAGAACATGCAAACTCTACACAGGAAGAGCGCAGCTGGAATCAATATATTTCTAAGCTTTTAATTGGCCAAAGGTAAGTGCGGGAAATCTAATTTGTTTCGTATCCATCCATCCATCCATTTTCTGATCCGCTTAATCCTCACAAGGGTCACGGGGCGTGCTGGAGCCTATCCCAACTGTCTTCGGGCAGTAGGCGGGGGACACCCTGAACCGGTTGCCAGCCAATCGCAGGGCACACAGAGACAAACAACCATCCACACTCACACCCACACCTAGAGACAATTTATACTGTTCAATCAGCCTGCCATGCATGTTTTTGGGATGTGGGAGGAAACCGGAGTACCCGAAGAAAACCTACGCAGGCACAGGGAGAACATGCAAACTCCACACAGGAAGACTGCAGCTGGAATCAATATATTTAAAAGCTTTTGATTGGCCAAAGATAAGTTCGGAGGACGTAATTCGTTTCGTATGTTTGTTGTATTTACAATTGATCTCGGGATTGCTCTGATATGTTATTATGCCATGTTAGTCCAGCATCATACCTTTCAATACATGTTATGACATAATTTCTCCACAACAAGCAGGATGTGTAAATTTCTGTGATATGCCGTGATGTGGCCACTACCAATGGGCATCTAAAGTCAACTAAACATCAAAACCCTATTTCAACATCAAATTAGTGTCAAATTGATGCCACGTACCCACTGGAATAATATACTGTGGTCTTGGATTAATTCAATTCGAAGTGGTTTTCTTTTCTTTTTTTTTTTTTTTTTTGACACTCAACATTACACCACATTGAACCACACCCTACCACAGTCCACCCCCCAAAACAACAACAGGACCCATTATCACACTGCATGAACCAGGAAGTAGCCTGCAAGTTTTGCCAAAGTAGGACTAAACACGGTATCAAAGCAGAATTCACAACTACAACTCAGCAAAACATTGCTAAACCTCTCGGCGACCGCCAGTTTGTTTTGTCACTGTGTGGATCCTTTAGCTTCTCATCAGTAAACACAGAAGCACTAGCGATTCTAGCAGTAACTGCTATGTCACTCAGGCTTAGCGAGCAGCAAGGGTTGCCACAAGCACCATCTGCAACATTGATTTAATTACTGTCCTTTTTTTGTACAGTCAAATTATCATGATTTTCTGATTTCATTCTAACAGTAATTCTTCATCATCATCATTAAAATTATGGATGTGTACATCCAAGTATTGAATATTGTGTGTGTATTACACTGTAAGATGTTTACTGTATTTTTAAGGGTACACCAATACCAGCAAATGAGAAAATTCGCTCTCCCACTGGAAACCGAAAGTCTTCCTTTGGGAATATTTTGTCCCATTTACACACGTCTTGTAATCACCCCTCAGGTCCTGTCCGCCATATAAGGACCACCACACTTGGTGTGCAAGCCTTTCTAGCCCCTTCCCTCCTTGCTATTCAAAGCTCAGTTGAAGATGAGTAGGCAGAGGGTGGGGGTGCGTTATGTGAAGGGGTTTGGCAGACGCAGGGTGGGATTGCCAACCTCAGTGTGTTCTTCTCCTGGTCTTGAGTTTCACATTCTGGCTGGAAAATATTCATCATAAATGCCGTACCTTACCCTGGTTGACGTCACGCTAATGTTTGCAAACCGGTTTTCGGAACTGCGAGATGAGGCCAACGGGGTCGGGGGGCGGGGGGGTTGTCTTTCTATTTACATAATAAAATGATGTCAGATGACTAAGCACGGGTGCATGCATCACTTGTTGGCTTTTCGCATCCATTTTTTTGTTATGAAAAATATTTGTTGTTTATTATCAATTTATGTCACTATTAGGGCCAGGGTTGTTTCTAGAACCCTAAAACTTAATTTAGTCAATACAACGATTGACACAAACAAAGCCTGCTGAAAACAAACACGCTTGCTAGTAGGGGGCCCGATAAAGGGAGCTGCTAGAATCCTGATGTGTCATTGCAGTGGATTTTCAGTTGTGTTGTTTGCTATCGACGAATATTAGTCTTCTCTCAGGAGGTCCCTCATAACAAAGCAGCCATCAGCAGCTAATAAGGGGCCCTATGCGGGGGATTTCTGACATATTGTCATTGCAGTGTCCTCAGCAGTGCCATGATTTTGTCATTGATATGAGCCAATGGCAGCGACATGTTTGTGGGTAAGTGTCCTAGAAGGAACCAAAGTTCAAATTCTTCGAGGGGAACAGATTTGTGTCACTTGTACTTCTAACATTCCAACGGCCTTGCGTCATTCCTCATCACTTTGTCTCCTTCACGTTGCATTTTCCGCTCATTATCCGTCCACCCACCGCTCTAAAGTTCCTGTTTTCAACCGGTTGCACCTCAAGAAACATTCCCCTCCAAATTGTGATTGGCTTGTCTCGGTTCCCCAAGAACCCTAAAAGTTCAGGAGACTATATCTGGTGACCGGTAGGAGGTCGGGGGCGGGACCTGGCCGTCTGGTTTAAAGTGTGTCTGAAGCCTCACTTGACGTCTAGTCTCTCTCTGTTGGGGTGCACGCGATTGACCACTCCTTTGGGGCTTTTTTTTCCTTGGATATCTAGGGGGGGAAAGCTAATCCACAATCATGGTAAGAGACACAGTTCGAAAACGGACTGTCGAGCAGCCTGGAGGGCATGGCGGTCGTAACTATTGGCTTATTTTAAAGTTATAGGCATGTGTGAAATACAATCGATTATTGTTGGTAGAAAGACATTACAGGTTTCCCACTTGAAAAGTCAAATGATTTTATGCAATATGTTTTTTTTTAATGAAATTTTAACATGATGGTCTACTAATCTAATTCACCTTTTACAACTTTTCACATGGGTCAACCAAATTTTACTCAAGCTCAAGTTCATGAATATATCTCCTTGACAGATAGAACCCACCCTCATCTCTTCTTTGTGAAAGCAAATTTGATTCCATCTTTGCTTTTATTTTTAATATTCCGCTGACCAATTTGGATAAACAGTTTGTAGTATTAGAGCAAAGTTGTTGATGCATGTGACATCATGACAAGGGTTTTCAAACTGCGTATGGAAGTTGGGGGTGGGCGGCTGGAATGGCGCAGGGTGGGCTGCAGCTGCTCAGGTGCAGATTCCACTTAAGTGACAAATTCCCAAGGATTGGATGTCTGCGGGCCATATACAGCCGAGCCTAATGTGTTGAGCCTGAAATAGCCGGGTTAATTTACAGCGAGCTCAACAACAAGCCTTTTTAAGATGCTGCCACTGCTCCTTGTCACACACTGCAATGCGAAGAATGCTCTTGAAAAAAACTAAGAAAATTGCAATATTCTACACACAGTATTGAAACAATGACAAAAGCAAATAAAATGTTGTGCCCACTGATGCAAGTGAAAATGTTTGCTTGCAGACTGACGCGCAGCAAGAGGCCCGCTCCTACTTGAGCGATGAAATGCTGGCCGGTAAGCATTACACGCAGCATGATTCACATTAAATTGCTGGTCAGCTCACAAGGTTATGCCCCCACTTGTTACTGGTTCGATATTTGTGCCCGCAAGCTTAGATTTTAATTGTCACAGGCTGATCAGGCTCTGCTGCCTCATAAATAACAGAAAGAACAGGAAGAACAGCAGGAACCGGAAGTGGGACAGATCCACATCCAAAAAGATAACACTGCAAAGATGATTATTTATTGTAAGAAAAACACTCATGGAATAAAATAAAACACAAAAATACATATTTAAATATTGCCTTATATCATTTAGTCTTTCTTGACTTTATTTTACAATTTTCTCATATAGTAGACCACTCAGGGTTGTTACCCAGGAAGTTTGAACATGCAATGTAACAAGGTTTTGCATATTCTCTACTGCATAATGACTCCCATTAATAAATCCCATTTATTGATCAATATTGAAAGGAATATTTCAGTAAGAGTGGAAAGCACTCAAGATGTCCCCCAAGTTAAGGTAGCAAGACAATCACGGGATGTTTACAAGAACACATGCCAGCCCGAGTAAGTCCAAGTAGATTGATTTCAAGTGGCAGGCTCTTCTTCTCTTTCTAGAGTTCAAGGCCGCCTTCGACATGTTCGACACCGATGGAGGCGGTGACATTAGCACCAAGGAGTTGGGAACCGTGATGAGGATGTTGGGACAAAACCCAACAAGAGAGGAGCTGGATGAGATCATTGAGGAGGTGGATGAGGACGGTGAGCCAATAAAAACACTGGATAGATGTGAATATTCCGAGGGAATGTCAAAATGACATCTGAAAGAATGTAAACCATTCCACCATCATCAGGATGCCAGTCAGCAAGTTTCAACGCACCCTGACCTCAAACACTCATTCATTCAAATTCCCGACATATAGCCAACACAATGTTAAAGTCAACGAGAGTAAGTTAGATTTTACCTTACCAGTCCATAATGGTGCACTTCCCTGTTTACGCAGGCAGTGGTACCATCGACTTCGAGGAGTTCTTGGTCATGATGGTGAGACTGCTCAAGGAGGACCAGGCCGGCAAGAGCGAGGAAGAGTTGGCGGAGTGCTTCCGTGTTTTCGACAAGTACGAGTGCACTGTGACAAGGCTACTTCTGCTTATTTGTGTATTTATCAGAGGTGGCAAAAGCAGCTGCGGGCCTAACTTCACTGACACCCGATGTGCAACCATTCTGGGCACCACCCTATTGAGTACTTTTACCATTAATCTATCAGTGTACCAGTCTATGTATACAGGTACACACTACCACTGACATTTTTTTTTTGTAAGAATAGGCCGCTCACTTACATTTACTTTGATTTAACGTCAATTTCCTTTAAAAAACAAAAACAAAAAAAAAGAACATTGCAACTTGCAATCAACAATAACGAGACCTCCATTGGAGCATACAAATGCGGCCATGACCCTTTCACTCAGTCAATTTCGCAATATGAAGAACACAGAGTACGGTCTCGTGAGCTCGCCATGTATCTTCTCAAGAACGGACACAACAACACTCTTCCTAATATTGTGAATCTATTTGTAAATTTGAACGGCTGTGTATTTGTTAACTCCCCCCTGCAACTCTGACGGATTTCCGTGATAGCAGCATGAAATGCAATTAGGGGTATCCAATCGATGCATCCTTTGCTTTAGCTAACTGACAAGAACTACATCCAGGTATTCCGTGCATTCTTGGTTTATTCGTACTTTGAATTGGAACAGTACTTGGGCCATGACTGAGGACATGTCACTGAGGACAAAAACACCTTCCTCCCGCAACACAAAGATCTTTGATCAATGCAGACGTCAGACTTCCTTGATATCGAGAACCTCTAACTTCAACATATTCCACAAGGGAGTTAAAATTCCCGATACAAACCCACTTTCATGATGTCAAAAGAAAACCCTTTCACACAGCTTTTTTTGGGAGGGACTAGTTGGCACTATCGAGAGAAATAAGTCACACTTTAGAGATGCTTGTGTAAAAAGACTCTTTCTGACTTTATAGCCAGAAAACAGATTCTGAAATGTACTTGACGTTTGTTTGTGTGACTTTGGCTTGTCTTGACAAGGGTAGCCACACTGAGTCACTCACGTGGTTAGTTTGTCAGTTTTATTGTTTTTACGCTTGATGCCTGTCTTGACACAACCCACTCATTTTTTTTTAACAAACCGGCAATGGCCTTGCATTTGGGAATTTACCACCTGGGAATTGAACATTCACCCAGCGCATGAAAGCCAACAAAATATATCATTACACTACCTGTACATGAAAAGCACTTTCCTTCAGATTTAAAAAGTAAAAATTATATTTTACTGTCAATGACCTGTTTTCATAACTTGGCACAAGGGGAAAAAAAACAACAGTAACCTAGATACTCAAATGAAGTACAGATTCTTAAAAAATGAACTTGAGTACGGTCACAAAGTATTTATACTTCTTCCCCTCCCAACACTGATTTATTGGTATGCATTTGTAAACAAATGATGCGTGTTCGCACAGGAACGCCGATGGCTACATCGACAGGGAGGAGTTCTCCCTGATCATCCGCAGCTCCGGCGAGCCCATCACAGAGGATGAAATTGATGAGCTGTTGAGGGATGGGGACAAAAATGGCGACGGCATGCTGGACTTTGACGGTACATGCGGAACGATGACTCAAGTAGTCAAGCATACAAATCACAGCTATTCGCCCTCCCCAAAGGAGGTTCTGTTCCCACTCTGACCGACTTCCATGCTGTCTTGTGCTCGCCAGAATTCCTCAAGATGATGGAGAATGTGCAGTAAAAGCAGACATACTCATGGACATTCCTCCTCACTCCTGTGAATCCCACCCCACCTTCGCCCAGTCAGAATTCATCTGACCCCCCTCACACTGTTCAAGCACGATCAATTCGCTCTCCATCCTCAGTCACCCTCAACAGAAAGATTTTGCACCATGAAGTGAAGACGGCGGGAGGGTCTTTCATGGTTGGACCAGCTAGACTCTTTCGTGCATGCAGACTGCTCATGAATGTTGTATCAAGAGGATGTCTGTAAAGGAGGACTGCGGCTGATCTCATTCACAGACCCCTACCCGGGACGACCCCCGCTGCCCCGCCGCCTTTTCTTCAAGCTCTACTCTAGATGTAGTCCAGATAAAACAGCTACCTATTACTTAGACCAATTCATTCAAAACCCCTTCACTGTACAAAGAAGTTACCTGCTTGAGTGGCAAGAAGAATAAATGAACTAACAACAGGCTCACTTGTAGTCCGTCATATTAACAGTCTGTAAAAATGTTGTTTGAGGAAGAGCAATAAAATAATGTTGTTTCTTCTCTTTGTCCACTCGCCATTAGTGTCATAAAAAGTATAAATTCAAAGATAGTTAAATCTGGTTTGACTTTCAAAAAATTACACTCAAAATCGGTGTTGAAAAATTGCATGTAAAATCTGAATCCGAATAGCTTTATTGTCATTGATTGCACCACAAGGTGCAACGAAATGGAACAGACACAACCTGTCCAAGAGACATAGAAAAAAAAATCATGACCAACAGGGAGATACAAAACGTGAGTATGCCGGGTCACATTTAACAGCGCCCTGTTTTCACGGATGAAAAGAAAAAATGGGAGGGGGAGGGAGATTGAGATCAGACTAAGATCTTGCTAATGAGAGCACAGTATGGATTTGGGGTGGGGGGGGGGGGAATTCAGCAAACGGGCACACATTAATACATAACAGGATGGAGGGATGGGGAAACGTCAGTGGGACATCACAGCCCAGATCCAGTGAGCTGTAGTACACATAAACCTTGGCCACGACATTTTTGTTCCAATCTGTGGCTATCAAAAAAAAAGTATTGAATTTTATATTTTGGATAAAAAAATTTAAATGGTAACTACAGTACAATTTTTTTTAGATTCCATAAACTGGACCCTTTCATCGCAGATTTAGCGTAAAAAGTGTACTACACCTTGGATTGGTGACTGGTCAGCAGTCATCCTGGGGCATATACGGTATACAAACACATTCACACCGTCCTTGACTAGGCAATGAGAGTACTGTGCCTGCTTTTCTGAGGAGACTCAAAACAATACTTTTGCTCAAATGACATAACTCTGTCTTTTTGTGTTGGAGTCTATCAGCAGGATACATGGTAATGATGCACTGCCTCCAAATCTTTTCTCATGTGGCCTTGACCGAAACGGATACCTCATCACTAAATCTTGCTACCACATCACTAAGTTCAGGTTTGCAACACACTCACATGCATAACAGAGTGAACTTCCCTTTGAGTAAGTATAATAAGCATATATAGTACATAAAAGTAGTCTAGTACGGTCTGTGCAAAAAAAATAAAAAATTAAGGAACCACTGGACCCACCCTCCCCCATGCCAACACAAAAAACACACTTATCTGGTTATAGAAAAAGCATATATTTATGAAGGTTGAATACTTAAAAATTAAATGTTCAAAACAAGGTAACATGATGTGCACATGTTAGTAAATGTGAATGTCTCTGCAATTGCTTCAGCTGATGCTTATGAGCCATAGTTTGCTTCGTCGAAAGCCTTGCGGGCCCTCTTGAGCTCCTCATTCATGGTCAGCAAGTCTTTGACTCTAGCGAACTTTCTGGGATCCTTTCGAATGAGGAAGACGATGTCCTCCACCTGGACCCGACCCTGGCGTCCGATGGACATGGCTTTGTGGGTCATTTCTGTGATGAACTCGATCACCAGGTCTTCAAGGATATCTACTGACTCCGTATATGGGTTCTGGTCATCCCCGAAGCCGTACATCATGCACCGGAGCTCCTTGGAGAAGAGCCTCTTTCGGCGGCCATGACACACGTCCACACCGCTGCAGCCCTCGTCCAACTCCTCCTCAAACCCGGTCTCGTCTTCCTCGTCTGCCATTGTGCTACAAAATATATAGTTTTGTTATGTATTTTTAAAATTGGTATTTGGGGTGCCCCTTAAGTTTCCATACCCTGGGAAAATAATCACCGTTTATGAAAACCATTTTTATTTCTACAATATGCTTAACTGGCCAGTCCAAGCAACCATCGAAGGGCTCTATTTTCCTCTGGAGTAATCTGGGAAGCTATCAATAAAAAAGGTAATGACCCAATCCTGTCATTCCATATTCCAGCACTTCACATCGTCGTCGGACTCCTCCTGTGAGGACTAACATTAACAAACATGACATTTTGTTAAATTCGATTGCAACCATGCCTGATTCACGAGCCCGGTCCGCGATATGGTTCAAATCGTTGCTCTTTATTTCAAAGCATTTTAGGGTAGGCTGTATGACATAAAAAAATTAACACATGTGTACGTAACAATATGTGACATAGACGTACTTATTTAATCCAAGAAAAACGTACCATCAAAATTGGTCGAAGAATCAAAACAGTCTCCTGCTTCTATTCTGCTTCCGGCTTTGTGTTGTCGACAGGAAGTCAGTTTTAGCGGAAATTGGAAGCTTTTTGGAAACACTGCCCCCTTGCGGGGCATTTATTACGATACGCTAACTTCACGCGACGTGTACTTTTAGTTAGTGAGGAGCAATATCGTTTTCATTGTTACGTTTTAGATTTAATATTACTGATTACCGACTCCTATATCCTCTTTCTTTCAACGCACGTGGACCGAAACCACTTCTAAGGACCATTCAACAAACGTAAATCCCAGGTCTGTATTTGTGTGTGCGGCGTCAAATGTATGACAGCTGGTAATGGGTAGCTCTCAACGATTGAGTTCAAGCTTGCTGCGTTTTAAATAAACGCAATTCCTCGGTGCTAATCTTCATATTAATTGATATAGTTCTTAACTAAACTGCCAGTAGTCTGGAGACGCGTGTTCGAGTCAACGTAATCGGGAGTGCGAATGCGTTGCACCTCCATGTGGCGGTCAATAAGTCAGCATTTTCATGATTTGGTTTAATCGATTACATCAATAGCTATCGAGTTAACGTCAGTTGTTGCTAAAAAGTCGAGCGAGGTTGAAAATAAATGTCGGACACGTGAATGTGGTCAGCGTTACTGGTCAGTGCTCCACCTTTCACAATGAACATAATTTAGTATTTGGCATCTGAAGTCGACTTGCTAAACACAGCTTGCCATATTGAACGCTTTTCAACTCACCGGCAATTAGTTTGCTTCTTTAGGTTCGCTAAATGTGTTTTATTTTATTTTATTTGTGTTCAGAAATTCACTACAGGTGTTGAAAAGAGGGGATCAAGTTCACTCTGCAGATGACACTTAAGTCAGTGTATGGCGTGTCCGGTCCAGTTCCTCTGCAGGACGCTCCGGACTGTGGGACTGGTTCTCCTCTATTATGTTTTCTCTATTGGTATCACCTTCTATAACAAATGGCTCATGAAGGTAAGTCAGTATAGATTTGTTTGAGATGAGGATAAAGTGGTCACTGACTGGTGGAGTGGTTCACTTGTCTGACTTTATTACAGTCAATGTTGGGTCTAGTTCGCACTCAGTGACAGTGTGAATGTCAGTGGGAATGCTTTTTTGACTCTTTATATGCCTGATGATTGATTATATATAATTAAAACAAAATTCATTCAATAAAGCATGACTAAATAATTTCTATTTTGTTAATTTGAAAAAGTAATTCTTTCACCAAAGTGAGATCCTGATGAGTGACAAGTAATGTCACTTCAAGACAAAAGCAGCTTATCATAACCAATGTCATTTATATACTGTGTTACTGAAATCTTGTCTATTCCTCGCCATTGCTTTTTGTCTTGAGTATAAACTGGAGATGAAAAGGGGCCATGACATCCTATTTTTCCACCGTAAAGATGAGTACAAATGAGGCGGGCATTGAGTGAGACAGAGCGGGTCAAGGATGTTGAGCAACTTGAGTAGCAAGTTGACAGCAGCAGAGAGAGAGCCAGAGGACTTAGGAAACACTCGTTGTCAGAAGAGAGGACACAACAGATGAAGATTCTGAGAATGACAGGCAAGCAGAGGGAGTGTGAAACTCAGAAATAGAATATACATGTACTGCATTTGCATCCACTAGCACTGGACCATCAGGTTTTTCAAAACAGTTGCCTGCTTGAGCGGGATCCAATGAACTAGTTTGCACAGCGCAGTAAGAAAACACTTTTACGTGGCTCAAGAAGGCGTTCTCGGTTAATGCGATGCTTACGGCTGCGTGTGGCCGTTTAAGGCACCTCATTTTCTGATCGGCGATGAAGGGATTGCCCCATATAGATGGCCTCGAGTTCTTTGGGTGTTGTTCTAGGTTCTTTGTCAACCTCATGGATGAGTCATCATCGCACTCTCTAAGTAATTTTAGCTGGTCAACCACTCCTGGGAATGTTTGCCACTGTTCCCAGTTTTATCCATTTGTAGACAATGGCTCTGACAGTGGTTTGCTGGCGCCCTAGAGTCTTGGAAATGACTTTGTAACCTCTTCCAGACTGATAGATTTCAATATATTTTTTTTCTAATTTCTTCTCATATTTCATTGGATCGTGGCATGATGTGTTTCTTTCTTGAGATATTGTAGCCTATTCCACTTTGTGTGACAGATTCTATTTATGTGATTTTGTGATTCTACAAATGTGGGGGTAGGGTGCTGCCTGTGAAATTGAACTCAGCTTTCCCAAAACTGTCATTCATGACATTATTACATAACATGAGGGGGCAATTACTCTTTCCATATCGGACAGGTTTTTTTTTTTGTACTTAATCATTTAAATTGGCATTTAGAAACAGCATTTTGTATTTCCTTAGGTTGTCTCTGTGTGATTTTAAAATTGGTTTGATGAACTGAAACCTTTGTATGTGATAAAAATGCAAAGAACTCAGAAATCAATAAGGGATGAATACTATTTCACAGCACTGTATCAAGAGTGAAATAGATTCCTGTCTTCTGCCCCAAGTTGCCAGTGAAACAACATCGTCAGCGTGGTTGATGTAGAACCAAAACACACTCAGCTTTGCCTCATGACCATTTCTATGTAACCCCCACCAGGGCTTCCACTATCCGCTTTTCATGACGTTAGTCCACCTGGCCCTCAACTTTTGCCTGTCGGCGCTGACCCGACGGGCCATGCAATGCTGGACAGGGAAGACCCGTGTTATTCTCGGCTGGTCGGATTACCTCCGCAAAGTGGCTCCCACAGGTGAGACTTGGTGGGTTTGCTTATTTGTTAGAGGAAAGTATTAATAGCTGGACCTTAAGTGTAAAAAAAAGAAACATAATGAAATGAGTCTCCTGCTTTGCATGTTTTCTATAACGCAGCATAACCTGTTAAAATAAGGCATAGCGCCCCCTCTGATAGTGGAGGCACACATAAAGCCAGTTCACATTGAATTTGCCGAAGTTATGACCCAAACACAAGTAGTTAGATTATGAAAAGCTGGGGCCCCTGAGACAGAACCTTGGGGAACGCCAGGTGTGACTGGGGAAAAGCCACTGATTTAGTTTCTGCTCACTTGCAATAGACCAGCACTCGAAGTGATAAAGTCTCTCAGTGGTGTTCTTGCTGTTGTCTTCCACCAGCGTTGGCAACAACACTGGACATTGGACTCTCCAACTGGAGTTTCCTCTTCATCACAATTAGCTTGTAAGTTAATATTAATTGGCCCTGATTACATACGGGTATTGTGTATACATAATTATCCTGCTGCTCATTGAGTTCTGTTTGTTTTTCCAAGGTACACCATGACCAAGTCTTCTGCAGTGCTCTTTATTCTCTTTTTCTCTTTGGTCTTAAAACTCGAGGAGCCGGTGAGAATCTTTTCATCCAATGAGACATTTTATGCTTTTTTTTCCCCTTTTAAATAACTGTTCCCAGTTGTCTCCATAACATGTTTATTACATGCTTTTGTCCAAATAGCCCAACGATCAAGAATTACAGCATACTCTTTAGCTGTTTCTTAATACCAAGAATGCAGAGTACGGTCTTGTGAGCTCGCCAAGCATAGTCTTCCTTAGAACGTACATACTAGAAGCTTAGTCTCTTTGTAATTAAATAAACAAGAGATGCCTCCTTCATTTAAATTTGGAGACAAGAACTACAAGAATTAAAAAAAAAAAAAAAAAAACAGAAAACAGGACTCCGCACCAGCTGACACTTTATGCAGTGGTTTAGTTAAATTAGTATCAGAGTACAAAAGTGTACAGAATGATGATTGTTTTCCATTTAAATTGTGATATTTACCTCCACAAAAACTCATTTATGAATATGGATTCTTAGGTTATTAAAAAAAAAAAAAAGGTTTGATTAACGTGTGCAGCGACAAAACGTTTCCGTTATTTATTTTGAGAAATTAGGCGTTGTGAAGTATTTTCTCAAATGTCTTGGTCTTTTTCCACCAGAACCCATTCCTGATCCTTGTGGTCCTGCTGATTGCCAGCGGCCTGTTCATGTTTACCTTCCAATCCACCCAGTTCAACCTGAAGGGCTTCCTCATGGTGCTGCTGGCGGCCTTCATCGGCGGGATCCGCTGGACCTTCACTCAGGTGCTCATGCAGAAAGCCGAGCTGGGTCAGTGATGAATTGTTGTCCATTTAATAAATACAAACACTGTTGGGGTGTTTACCTGAGGCACCTTTGACCCGTTTTTGCCCCATCAACCAGTTTTAATTGTATCGTTTGGATTCAGCAGTGCATTTTTAGCAATAATGAATTGTATGAAATATTGAAGGCATTTTAGTTTACAGTTTCCAACATAATGTTACTAATAATGTTAATGGCCCTAAGTAATTCGCATTATACCCCATTACTCCCTCCTCGTTAAAGTTGTTCATATTTCATCTTCTTGTAGGCCTCCAGAACCCCGTAGATGCTATGTACCACCTCCAGCCTCTCATGTTTCTGGGCCTCTTTCCGCTCTTCCTGTATAATGAAGGTGAGATCAAGCCTTATCTGTGGTTAGTTCTCCACAGCCAAATGGCAACAATTGTCCACATTGCACCCATGACCATTGTATCGAGATGTTCAACAGCTCTTTGTCATTATTGTGTGTGGTTGTAGGATTGAGCCTCAGCACCTCTGACAAGTTATTCCGGGAAACAGAGCCGTTGCCTCTCTTGTACTTAGTCTTCTTATTAAGCTTTGGAGGAATCCTGGCTTTTGGTCTCGGCTTTTCAGAGTTTCTGCTCGTCTCACGAACCTCAAGCCTCACGTTATCCATATCAGGGATTTTTAAGGTACTGTTTTATATGAGCGTTTGTGTTTATTTTGTATGTTTGTGTGTCCAATTGTACCGAGTTGAAAGTGAAATCATGAAACTGGTCACTTTACGATGTAAAATGCAATCATACTATATGTACATTTCTGTACCGGTACATTTTTATGTAACTGTACGTCTCACATTTTCTTAATATACCCTAATAACTGATTGGAGTATGTTAGCGGTCGATGAAATAGCTCCTATTTAACTGAATTAATAGATGATGAAGTCAGACAATACTATTTTCCTGGATTATGAAAAAAAAAAACAATGGTAGATAAACCACAGTCCATGTCTTGTGAAATTAGTACGGAGTGATTTACACATGGAGAGAAGAGAAGTTTGCAGAAGTATTCTGAGTCCAGGTCTTCTGATTATTATTTAGGTAATTATCACCCTTCTATGTGAAATACCATGGCAACAAGAATGCTTCAAAGTCATACCCTTTTATTTGAATGAAGCCTCTTCCAAATGTGGATACAAATCCAAAATGTGTCGGATACAATACATGAACGCACAGATCAGTGAGACCCCATCAATGCAATCTTGACATTATAGAAATGGTTTAGACACGCCTGATTCTGCTCAAACAACAAAAATAAACAATAAAAACCACAATACAATAAAAAGGTAAATTTTTTGTTGTCCTGTCCACTTTTTGACGCCTGTAGAATAATGTGCAATATAGTTCACATATCCCGATTGTTTCTTATGTTTTGTCAGTTGGAACACAGCCGTACTGCATACTTGAAATGTTCGTGGAAATAGCGCCCGCCCCAAAATTACAATTGGCACTTAGGGATGCACTGTAATCCAGTTTCTGTTTCATGATACGTTTTCCTGCAGGAAATATGCACGCTGGTTTTGGCAACATCACTGGTGGGAGACAAACTGAGTGTCCTCAACTGGCTGGGCTTTGCCGTGTGTCTGTGTGGTATCTCATTGCACGTTGGACTCAAAGTCTATTATTCCAAAAGTGAGTACGTTTCCACTGTGTTTTGACATGTGTTGCAATGTAATGAGTGAAAAGTCCAAAAGGGTCTTGAAAGGTAATAATTGGATTGGGTGTGTTGAAAGTTGTATGCGATCAAAGTTTGTCAGTTGAATACTGAACCCATATACAATCGTAGTTTTTTTTAAAAGTTGGTTGTACGTTAGTGAATTGGCCATTAGTTTGAGGCCAGTGTTTATAACTACCAAACTAAGTGGGACAAAGTTTCCGAATAAATCAATTGCAACTCAGTATTGGGTTGAGATTAATGTTACTTTATGAAACCATGAAGAGTCATCTACCACGTGAAATCTTATTTACCAAGTTACTGATGCTGTGACTTCCCCACCTTGGAGTCATTGAATTTTATTCATGTACAGGAACACTAGTCTGTAGTAGCAATATACACTGTAGCATTTTAATTTTGGAAAAAAAAAACACATTATGATTCGTGAGAGTATGTTAAAGTGGCCCTTCAGTGAACCTCTCTCTCTATCTGTAAACTTCCAGCAGCAAAGTGCAATGCAACATTTGTAAAAAGTTTGCTCTTCTTTTATTAACTATCACTATCGGATTTTTTTTTTTAAACGAACATTTTAACATTGCAATATTAATGTATTAGACGGTGGTTAGCTAGCTAACTGGTGGTTAGCACCCTTTGTTTAGTTTGGAAACAAAAAAGGCACAAAAACGAAGGGACATAAATTTGTTAATCTTTAGCAGCTGGCTGGAAAGAGGCCTTGTGACCCTCATTTTTTCTGTTCTCTTTCAGACAAGAGTCCGTCCCTCAGGCAGCTGACCAGTAGGAGCCCAGAGCTTGAGTTGCCTTTGCTGCGACGTAATGATGAAGACGACTCCACTGCCGAAAATGAGGAGGAAGAAATCACCCTACACTGATATCATCACATATTTTGAACTCTGATTTCAGCCAATTAACTTTAGCTTTTCTAAAACTGTTCAATTTACAGCCACTCTGCTAAGGGTGAAGGGTCACCGCAATTTCTGTCCTAAGAAATCATTTCATTAAGTCCATCTTCCTTTCAGCTGGGCGGTCAAATATGTAGCTTATCGATTTCAGTGTCCACAGCATATGATTGAAGTTGGTTGTTGAGGCTTTAACATGATACTGCAAATAATAGAATGGGAGTCTTTACAATGCCAAAGTGACACAGGAATATTGATATCAGGATCAAAAAGATGTAATCGTCATCAACTTTCTTGTAACTCACTAAAGTTGTCAACAAACTTCATAAAATAGTACGGTACCTTAAGTGCTGTGAAATGTGTTTGGTCTCTGCTCACATTCTTTGTTTTTTGTTTTTTTTTTTTTTGGTTTTCCCCACTTTAATTTCGATGATCATCAAACAAATGTAAATATCAGATTCAAGTCTGGACTTTGACTAGGCCACTCCAGAAACGTCCTTTTTTAACATTTTTATTTTAGCCGTTCATAAATTGACTTGCTGCTGTGTTTAGAATTGTAGTGCTGCTGTAGGACCCAAGTGAGCTCCAGCTGGAGGTCACGAACTGATGGCCAAACACTCTCAGGATTTTCTGGGAAAGACCAGAATTCATGGTTCCATCAATCACAGCAAGTCATCCAGACCATGAAGTAGGAAAGCTGCCCCAGACCATCACACTGCAACCACCATGTTTGACTATTGGCCTTGGGGGGGCAAGTACTTTTTCACACAGGGCAAGGTAGTTTTTAATATTTTATTCCTTTCGAAACAAAAAGTCACCATTTAAAAATGTAGTTTGTTTACTTATTGGTCGGTTATCTTAATCTTATATTTACATTTGTTTGGTGATTTTTAAACATTGTACATTCCTCTCTATAAGTTTTACTCTCAAAGCAGCCAGGACAGAGATGCATGTACCATTTTTTGCTACTCTGCTGACTACTGTGTTGCAGTAAGCGTCATTTCTCATCTTCATCCCTGGTATTCCTCTGTGGTATTATCACACAAAAAGCTGAAGAAAAAGCAAAACCCTGACAGAGTTAATCATTTTGATGCTTGCTAAATCCTGTGAGAGAGGTCTCAAGTAATGAATGACGGTGGTTGGAACTTGGGTTTTTGTGCAACTTTTCATAAATTTTGCATTGTATTCTGAATTATATAATGCCAGGGACATTTGAGTTCTGCAGGATCTCAACTGCAGTTGTACCGGTACTCATTTTCAATTGTTCAAACATCTGCATGAGTTTATTAAGCAGCATGAGTTGGCCACTAATGGGCCTTGAATTCAAACATTTAATTAGATGCTTTGAATGCATGTAAACATGGAAAAAGTCTGTCTTTTTACACCAACTTTAGTAGCAAAATAAAACAAACTTGCAGGGAAACTACAATTGTTATTACATAAATTCATTCATTTTAAGTGGCAATTATCAGCTACCACTCTGGCTGTCATTTCAGATCATAACTAATGTGCCTTATTTACCTCAGTTTTTAAATTGGACTCATAAAGCTAGCTTTTATATCAATGTACAAATCGAGTCTTTGAAATAGATGGAAACATTATTAAACTATTTTTTGTGGCATCTTGTAGAATAAATTGTGTTGCTTTCTTTGTCACTGAATTGACTGTAACAACATAATATTTGTGTACTGTATTTCCCAAGTAACATCAACCCCATTGTCAAATAAATCCGAAAATTACCATTCTGGGCATCTAATACTCATTTCACCGAATGAAGTTTTGCCCTTGCACGTTTTTGAGGAGTAACCATAAAATTAATTGCTTTGTGAGTGAGCAGACTTCAGCAGGGAATCAAATAAATAATGACTAGAAGTGCAGGTCATTAAACTTCTAAACCCACAAAGCAGTTTGGATATTTCATCAAATGCCCAGCGTCTCTATGGTAGTACCACGCATAGACATGAAATAAACCGATACCTCGTCAATACAAGGGATTGTGAATCAATGCCATCGCCATGTTGGCTGAAAAGGCCGTTCGAAACAGTCACTGGAACGGGTTTCCAGTCAATCTCGATAGTTATGTCAAGTAATTGCACTGATATAAATCATTGATGATGAAAGGATCAACAAATCAGATAATGTCAATATTGTACTCTTTGTTACCCTCAAGTCACGCAGATTGGGACCTAGTTATTATGAAAAAAGGAAACAATATTATTTTTTGAAATTTTATCATCACATTACTGTTATATACAGCACATTCATAGGGAAAACGACCTATATTATCAGCAGTAATCATTTATTGTCATCTGATTAAGTTACAAATGTTTTGAGCTCTCGTGTGTGCGCGTGTGTGTGTGCGTGTGTGTGTGTGTGCGTGCGTGCGTGCGTGTGCGCGTGCGTGCGTGCGTGCGTGTGTGTGTGTGTGTGTGTGTGTGTGTGTGCGTGCGTGTGTTGTGCGCGCGCGCGCGTGTAATGGGTTATATAAATTCATTTTATTGCACTTGGTATTTTGCCCATGAGGTTGTATTTACCTACGGATGAGAGAGGACACATCCAATATGGCGGGCGCGTTGGCGTATTTTAGCAACGTTGCCAAACTCTCAAGCCGATATTGAAGGAGGTTTCATGTCTATGATACCACGCCCATAAAGGAGAGACTACGGGGCCTGGCTCACAAGTTTTGGAATTACGTTTTTTCTAAACACACACACGATCTGGTACCGGAGCATTGGATGCCAAATTACAGTGCTTGCGAGACTGCTCAATTCGGCGAGACATCTCACATGCGGACATAATTAATATGCTCTAAATGTGGAGGACTGATTATCCTTGAACTGAAGCAGCACTGCCACCATCCAGGTATGCGCTCACCTTGCTACTCCGCCCCTCGACACAGTAAAACCCCTTTGTTATTGTTTTAAGTTTTTTTTTACTTATACAATGGTGAGACAAGTTATCGTTTTAACCTGTTTTTGTCGTTTTTTATCGCTCTTCATTACGGTGCAGGTGCGATTGAGTTTTTGCTCGCCGAACTTAAAAAGTTGTCTTCACTTTGTGTCAATTCTTCCAGTAAATAGCGGACAACACCAATTAAAATAAGTATTATATTAAAAACGCCCTTGCTTAGTTATTTTTCAAAAATTGGATTTTACTTGATGTATTAAGTAACGTCATTATAACACAAAAGAACATTGAAAAAAATGTCGACAAAGCTATTTACACAACCAATCGCTGAACTTGAAAAATACACAGAACCCCCCTGGCCCACACCCCAATTTATTGCAGAGGATTATATGTTAATAATCTATTTGTGATTAGGATAAGCGACACAGATTTTGCAACACCGTTATTACTGACATGCTAATTTGCTTAGTAAATACTGCTCGCTGTATTCAGTGGATATGACATTTTGATGTGTGTGTGTGTGTGTGTGTGTGTGTGTGTGTTTATTGTATGATATCCATCTGATTCTGATCCATATAGAGCGGGTCCTTGGTTTATTTACAGCGGTCCCTTTGACGATTCGAAGGTGCGCACTGAATTACTTGACACAGATAGTCGTCACTCGGAACAAGACGGCACGCTGTTTTTTTCTTTGAGTGTTTTATGTTAATAGTTTAGAATTGTTTTTTTGTTGTTGTTGTTGCTTGAAGCTAAAACGCAAGAATAGAGATCACTATACTCTTTGAAACTGCAAGAGCTACTTTTTGGGTACAGATTCATGCTAAGGGCTGCCAACTTGATGCACACCCCTGAAACAATAAATTTGCTCAAATTACCTTGATGTTATTATTGATAATAATATTCATTTTTTTTAAAGACACTGATTGTGTTAAACTGTCATGTGATCCTTGGGGGCTACCAGGTGCCAACAGGCAGACCCCTGCATTAGAAGCAGGAAGCCAGAAGCCATAGTCTTTTATACTATACTACACCATATGATAATATACGGCACTATGCAAAACTATACTATAAATAGGATAACATACCAACACTATTATTATATTAGTACGTAACTCATTTAGCGCTATGCAACAGAAGTCGTCACAAAAGGATAACGTGGCAAGACTATAACCCTACATATATGTAATTAGTACCATTAGATAATTTAGATTTTACTCTTGATATGCCGTTACCACATTCTTATTAAAAATATATATTTTTTGTTTTTCAGTCATAATTCATATAAGTTACTGGTACATAGTTTTCCAACTTATGTGTCTGTATTTCAGTACAGCTGTAAAAAAGTTCTGCATCACGGTAAATGTGATGTTTCTCATATTAAAGTGATAGGTTTTACAAAATAATGTGAAAAGTTATCACATTAAAACGTGATAAGTTTGGCTTCCGCTATTGGCATGACTAAAATAAAGCAATTACTGATAACTTATCACGTGAAAACATGAAGATTTTGGCTTCTGCATTTGACATACGGTAACAACGTAAAGCAATTTCTCCCGGTTCAGGTCAGTAGCCGAGTCCTTTTTGTGTCTTATTAATCAGTGAGTAGCTACACAACTACCAATACTGTCAGTAAATAAAAATAAGGCCAACTGTCCAAAATGATTGAATAGATTTAAAAAGAAGACACACATTGGGCTGAACCTGAAATAATTGCTTCGTTTTGTGATGCTGAATGCGGAAGCCAAACTTATCATGTTTTAACATGATAACTTAACACGTTTTCACATGAAACTTTTCACATTAAGTGTGAAATTTATGACCTTGAAATGTGAAATGTATTCCATCATAACGTGACATTGAACAAGCTCCAGGTAATGTCATTATTGCTCTGCACTTGCAGCAATAATATAAAGGCGGTCGAAATGCAGCCACAAGCATTACATAATGGGGCTACATTGTGTGTGTATGGCAGGCAGGCATTCAGACAGGTACACACAGCAAATGAAGTTCACGGCAACACTCAGGCAAGCACAGACACATGTGAGGCATGAGAAAATGAAGACACATGATGGCATGCTGGAACTCTTCTCTGTTGATCTGCTTTATCATAATCACGTAGATTATCATGTTAAATATCCACTGTTTGCTTTTATGGCCATTTGTCCATCTATCCATTTCCTATACAGGGACGTGAGTGAGCTGCAGCGTATCCCAATTTACTTTGGACGAGAGACGCGGTACATTTGTCTGGTTGCCAGATAGTCTCAGGACACATGCAGTGTAGAACAGGACTCTGTAAGCTACGGCTCTTGAGCCACATGCGGCTCTTTCATCCACAGCTCCCTGTGACTTTGAAAAATAATTCAAAAGTATTTCATTTTAAATCACGTCGTTTGTTTTTCAAATGGAGCGGCTCGGTGGTCCAGTAGTTAGCGCCTCGACCTCACAGTGCAGAGGTACTGGGTTCCACTCCTGCTTTGGCGTTCCTGTGTGGAGTTTGCATGTTCTCCCCGTACCTGCGTGGGTTTTCTCCGGGTACTCCGGTTTCCTCCCACATGCCAAAAAGATGCATGGCAGATTAATTGAACACTCTAAATTGGCCCTGAGTGTGAACGGATGGTTGTTCGTCGATGTGTCCCCTGCGAAAACCATCCATCGAAGGGTAAAAGAGTGTTAAAATGGCACCTGTTCACTTGGCAAAGTTTTTATTTTGTCGACAGCCTGACTTTAGAGTGTATTATTTCCATTTATTTCTGTTATTTTGTAAGAAATGATTTGTTACCAAGTCAAGTCAGCTTTACTGTCAAATATGCTCTATGTCCAACATACAGCACAGGTGAAATTTCTTTCCTCTCAACCACAGTGCAAACATGCAGTGCATTGAAAACACACACAACTAATTATCGATTTACAAAAGTGATGCTTCCAGTGTATAGAGGGGTACTTTTTTAATTTTGTTTTTGGGGAGGTAACACTATTTAACGGAGTTCTCTCATTGCAAACATCATATCCTCTTCAAGTAATCACATAAAAAAAAAAAAAAAAATGGAAGACTGTGGTGTGTGTAATGTGCAGACTTCACAGTTACATCACACTTCGCGAATAAGCACTCTCAGAGACTGAAGCGTGTTAGTTTTGTGAGCTCTTTTGAAGAGCAGTGTGCGTCTTAATATTACAGACCTGTGCGTGTGTGTCATTACGGTACTTGTGTGTGGTCCGACGGCCTGTAATGGCGCGCTAGCGCCTGAGCACCGGTAGTCAGACTCGGTCATAAAACATTTCCCACGGGAAAGAGGATGATTGGACTGTCATTGCCACAAATTCGTGTCAAACACACACACACACACACACGCACACGCACACGCACACACACACACACACACACACACACACACACACACACACACACACACACACACACACACGTGCCACTCGTTCTGCCCAGCCATTGTTTCAAGTGTCACTTTAACTTCTTAGGGTGAAAAACACATCTAGACTATGTTAGTTACCGTGCCGTACATGACCAAATTTTGCATTTGCTTTGTGTGTTTTTAGGTCTCATGTCACTTCACTAACCAGTCTCTCCCTCAACATCATCATTGTCATTTCACTGGATCATGTGGCATTTCCTGTTTGTAATCCTGCTGCTGTCATCAAAAGTTCATGGCCAAGGTAGACTGTTGGACATCACTGTCATCACATGTGCTGTAATTCAGTACCTAATTTAACAACGTTATCTATAGTGAGTCATATCACAATGTATCATTACTGGGCCCATTTTCTCCAATTCTCAAACAATTTTTTTTTTTTTTTTGCGGGGATCTACTGGCCATATATTGTCTCCCTTGCCTGCTTTGAAAGGGTTTTTTTGTTCAGAGGGGTGTCTGACCCAGTGCTGGTCTAGCTCCACTTTAGACCCACGATGAACCCTTCAGAGGTCGTTGACCCAAACCACAGCGATGAGGTTTATATGGTATCCATAGACGCTCCAAGAACATTATTTCGTTCATGTTTATTCCTCTCTGTCTTCTTTGTTTCCACCACCCCTTCCCCTCCTGCTCTATCTATAACTCATCCACGTTACATACAAAACACTGACACACTAAAACTTTGTGACGGTCCCCTGACATAACCTCTGACATTCATGGCCCGCCTTAGCATCCTCTTCCTGTTTCTTCAGGGGACGGGAGGACAGGACGCGCTTTGACGGAGAACGGGGCAGCTGCGCTGGCGGGTGTACTGTGGGTGGGAAGGCAGAAACATGAAAGATGCTGCTTGTTGGGAAACCCCCTGTTGGAAATCATGCAAATTAAACAACAAAAGATCATTTTTGGGAAGGAAGTGACATGGGAATAACAGGGGACATGGAAAAAGTTCCTGAAAAATCTGCCACTTTATTTCTGTCATCATCACCCACTCGGCCAAATATTTCATCTTCCTCTGATCTTTGCCAAGGTCGTCTTAAGCTGACGGTCCTCTCCGAAGACAGATTGCAGATGAAATGGAAAGAGACCGATGGTCCCATTCAGGGCTACAAGGTCCGAGTAAGGCCCATCTCAGGTGAGACTCTTCAGCCTCATTTCAAGCGGGTTGTAGGCCTGTCAAAAACAAATCTATTTGGAATCGATTATGCTAGCAATGGACACATACCACTTGAGTTTGTCAAACTTAATGTTTGAACACTATACTAACCTCAAAGTAAACAACATTTTAATATTGCTTTTCATTTAAGACAGCCCTGGTGTCGTTCACATTCGCGGGTGCCTCTCATGGCCATTAATGGCTGTGCCGCTACCAGCAGACGTGAGAACTTATTAAAATTATCCAACAACGACTGTCTTGCTCGCCTGGTTGTTAATTATTTTTTCTCAGACATTTCCCACAATAATCACAACACGTGACACTCAAACTCGACCATCACTTAGCCACGTGAATGCGCTTTGGAGCATGCTATGCTAAACTAAGTTTGCTAGAGAAGCTTTAACTCACGCCATTTGCAAAATGAATACAATAAATATAGTGTGTAGTCTACAAACACCATAGAGTGCGTTCTAATTAGCCATGCTAGGATATATATGACATCAGCTAAAGCCTGGCGAAGGTTGGCGAGTGTTTGTCAAGGTAGCGACTGCTGAGTTTTCGTCAGTTCACTGTCACAATTGGTCGCAAAGATGTTTGGCGGACCGTTGGCCAACAATTTTAAACATTTAAACCTTGCGCATGACATGAGTTTTTGGCACCCTTTGTTTTGGCCACCAACCAGTCCTAAATTAACCCGAAGAATGCAAGTCAATCCCTGCAGCCAGAGTCCAAAATCCTGTGACAACTTGCCGCCTGACTAAGTGAGATATTTGTTGGACTCATTTTTTTTTCTTCCTCTTTTAACATGGTCAATCACATTCACATATTATAGGTGTAATATTCAGTTTACTATACATGCTGGTGTACTGTGTGAACCGCATATGCATTTTATATCATATAAAAACGGCTAATTTCACATTTTCATCGCAGGACTGAGAATGGATGAATATGTCCGTCATGAGAAGAGTATACAACAGTATAAGACTCATTTTTAAGTCACACTCATGGTTCTAAAAATAAAATAATCACTGGCAATTTCTTTATCTTGCTTAAGTGGCGCCAGTAAAGTGCACAGCAATTAAAAAAAAAGCTTGACATTCAAGGACCTATCTAAGAAATATGGCAATGCTTTTCATGGAACCTGCTGTGGACTCACTCAAATTGTGCCATTTCTTTCACATGACTTCGCCAAGTCATTTTTCATGATGGATGTCTTTTTTTTATTTTTCCAGACGTGCCACAGCCGGAGCTCATGTTGACAACCACACGGGGGCGGGCAACCGTAGCAGGATTGGACTCCAGTCAGGAGTATGCTCTCCAAGTTCTTGTGCTTAATGGGACCACAGAGAGACTTCTGGCAAAGCGACGATTCACCTGTAAGAGACACACCAAGGGGGATGGCAGATATTTCAAGGGTTGCACGACCGGTAAAGATGGTGGAAAGTATTTTTTTCCAAGTCTTTGGACTACTATTTGTGGTCCTGGGGGGTCCTCGGTTTATGTTAGACGATATGCAGCAGCATAGTAATACATTGACTGCCTGCAAAAGAAGACACACCCATTTTATTTATGGCCAAGAAGTGTTTTTCATACCATTTATTGTAATTATGACTTCTCCTACAAAAGAAGTACACAACAGCCCATTCCATTTTATGTACGAATTTGGATTACATCGCTCAGGTTGTATCCAACGTCTTTGTGGCTGGCATATAACGTCGCGGCAGCACAGTCGGCTGTTGGGAGAACTACGCCACTGGTTGGAGGTGACTGTGTCAAGTGGCACATGTCCAGGCATGCCTCATCACCTCAGCATGGAAACTTGTAGCATTAGCTGTCATGCTGGAATGAGTGATGGGAGTCTGTGAATTTCTTTGCCTCTGCTTTGTGACTCCCTCTTGTGCTTTGTGATTATATCAAGCCTTGTCAAATGTTTCACCCTCAATTTGTAAGTTGTTAACCTTGTCTTCAGACCATATCACTTAAAAAAGAAGCAGAGCTGCTAATGTTGCTATAATTTATAAAACGATCCACTATTTATTTGCTTTAAATCAGGGGCGTCCAAAGTGACCCGCGAGTCATTTTTGGCCCTTGACCACGGCCACCCAATGACGGCACTGTTGTTAAGGTCAGGAACAGTTAATTAAGAAAGTTATTAACCCTTTCAGGGACAGCGGTTATTGCAGTGGACATCTTATCATGTTATCGGGTTACAGAGTACTTGAAAGGGTTAATTCAGATGCTAAAATAACTCAACCAAATTGAGCCGTAGTCCAATCCTTGACACGGCTTTGTAAAAGGGGCCTTTGTCTCATCCAGTGGACAGTCTACGGGAGGAGGAGATGGTTCGTAGTGGCCAAAGGAGGAAGCTGTTGCCAGGAGGATCTGGATCAGGAGACCTGGATGATGGAACGGAGGCTCTGCTGGCTCTGCCTACCATTCTGTATCCAGACCCTGTCACCACAACTACAAATGCAGGTAAATCCTTCACACACACACACACACACACACACACACACACACACACACACACACACACACACACACACACACACACACACACATGCACCACCATACTGTATTCTATACACATATCCTGCTATTATCTTGACGACAGTGACTCAACAGAGACAACATATCCATCTGATGTTTTTTAAAAAAACAAAACAAAAGAAAACATATTTTTTAAAATTGCTTTAACATTTGCCAGCCAGTTTAAAATATGCATGCCCTTAAGTGCTTGAGTACTGATATGAACATTCGATGCGTTGTGGCTACATATCCATCTGTTTTTAAAAAAAATAAAACAAAAGAAAACATATTTGGAAAGCCAGCCAGTTTAAAATATGCATGCCCTTAAGTACTTGAGTACTGATATGAACATTCGATGCGTTGTGGCTCTCAATCAGATGATACAGTGTGAGCAAACAATTTCCTCAGTTGAGAGATTCAAACACAGTATTTTGGTGTGAATAACCAGCCGAAAAGTTGAGAGCTTTGCAGGAGACTTCTGAAGATGTTGATCATTAACAATACGACAATTGCCATTACCTCCCTCTGCCAGAGCCACCAACTATGGAACCCTCCACTCCACCCGTGCCAAGCTCCCAGGATAAGTCTACCAAAGAAAAGAAGAAGAGGAAGAAAGAAAAAGAGCGGGAACGCTCCAAGGTGGAAATGAAGGACAAAAAGGGAACGACAGGGGGCAAAGAGGAGAAACCACAAAAGATACCTCTTCCAACTCAGCCGGTTACAGGTAACCTCTGGTCCTCCTGCAGCCACACCCAAAGTTGACATTCAAAATCCCATTTCCCATTCATTTGGATTAATTTTTTTTCCGAACTGCCACCATCAAAAAAATAAAATCAAATCTGTATTTTGTGACTGGTGCATACAAGTCTTGTGTGAGATATGTTATAAATCTGCACAGAGGCGGGTTAGACCAAATTTTGGTGATTTCACAGCCAAAAGATTAATTTAAAGAAGGTCGCTGTGATGTCATGGGTTTGAGACTAAAGGGGCTTGAAAACAGAATGTGTGTTGACATGATAACAGTGTTTATTGAACAGGAAAAGATAATGAATAGCCATGTTGTTCGGCCACAGGGCACATGTCGTCACTCATCGTGGAGTTCAAGGAAACACGCATTTAAACGGATGTTCATTCACGCGTCATGCTGGTGCATGTTCTGTCCGTTCGCCGTTCTCTCTCAAGTCCGTCGAAATGAATAGAAGTGTCATGGAGCATAACAAAATGTCGTTTACTCAATAATATGGCATATTGACATCCTGGCATGAACCTCCTGGAAAAACGTATTTCTCCAGGTCAAATTCTTAGGTGTTGTCTGTTTTTTTTTTTAGGTGCTTTTCCGAGAAAACCTTTTGAGTGCAACACTGATGCTGCAGCGGATATCATGTTTTTGGTGGACGGTTCCTGGAGTATTGGACGGACCAACTTCAGGCGGGTCAGGGACTTCTTGGAGGGACTGATGACACCCTTCCGCATCGGGCCGAAAAACATTCAGATTGGTGAGGCTTAGTATCTATTGGTTGGGTGTGCAATTGTAATGCCGTATTTGTTTTCTCTTCCATTCATGGTATCAGCGAAAAAGATGTGCAGGTATTCAATCACTGTGTGGTGGCAGGTGTACAGTACATGCGATGGCACACACTAGCCAAGTCGAACCACATAACATCCGGATTGTTTGGCTAGTGTGGCCGTTCAGTTTCGAACTCAAGCTCGGTACATTTGTTTTAGACCCAGCACACTAGGGAGAGGCCTCGATGTGGAACAAGTTAGTTCTTTAACTCATTCAGTACCAGCCAATTCTGGACCAAGTCTAAAAAGACGTTTAAAAACGTCTTTGGGAGTGAATGAGTTAAACACGATGTGTTCCTCTTCAAGGCCTTAGCCAGTACAGTGGAGACCCGCGAACAGAGTGGCAGCTGAACAACTTCACCACCAAAGACCAACTGGTAGAAGCTGTAAGGAATTTCCGATATAAGGGAGGAAACACTTTCACAGGTATTGTTCAGGCATGATGATGCGATATTGTTGTCTATTGCTCGGAAGATGTTTTTTTTAGACTTGCTACATGAATCTCTAGGCCAAGCGCTGCTCCACGTCATGGAGGAGAACATGAAGGCCGAAGCGGGCGCAAGGTCGGACACGCCCTTCTACCTTGTGCTCTTGACGGATGGTAAATCGCAAGATGACGCCATCGCCGCAGCAAACCGACTCAAAAATGCCGGTGTGGAGATCATCGCTGTAGGTGAGATTTTAAAGTGCGAAGGTGGGGTGGTGTGAATTGGATGCAACATATTTATAGTGTACTGTATGTATTTTTTTTCATACTTGCTTATATTTTTGTGGGAAACGGGTCATGGAATTTCTGCGTATGTTCCGCTTGGCTTGTGATTGATAGCAAGGTAATTCTACGTTCCCACAATGTGTAAGATGTCATTAAAGCACCACATTTTATACCTCAGTCGGCATTTATTGTTTCATTGTACACAGTACAATTTGTACTGTGGCTTGTGTTTCTTTTCACGTGCTACCTTTCCGTGTGGTCTGATAGTCCCGTCATTAGCCGACTTTTTAGTCTTGGTTTGTGCAATAAATTCCAGATTCCGGCTAAAAATATGTAATTGTGTTTTTATTCTGCATTTAGGTGTTAAGAACGCCGATGAGGCCGAGTTGAGGCAAGTGGCTTCAGAGCCAGTGGATTCCAATGTCTACAACGTCAACGACTTCCATCTGCTCAGCAAACTGGTGGCCCGGCTGGTCCACGTTCTGTGTGGGAGAATAGAGGAGCGCGGAATCATAAAACGTAAAGTAGCACTCATTACGTTGACACAATCTATGAAGCCACAGGAACAGTTGTAGTTTTGAATGAGTGGTCTGTACATTAAGCGAACATGCATACATGTTTTTTGGTCTGTGTGCTCGAATGCATCTTGCTCGCTCTACTGTGAGCGCCCCTTAACCTGCTGTTGGAATCTTCAAGGGAAACAATGTTGACCAAATTTGTGCTGGACAAACTTTTCATTGCAAAAACTTTCATTTTAAACACATGCGGTATAACTGTCTGCATGGGTGGAATTTTCTTTCTTTTGGTATTTTCGGAGACGCACGTAGTTAAAAATGGGTGTTTGCGGTGTTGTGGGAGTGAATGCAGCCGACTTGCTTCGCGGCCAGTCGAAGCAGCTCCTCTTATTTCCTTTACTACTTAACTCAGGAAAGGTGCACGTTCTACATGGCGGAAGCATAAATTGACTCACTGGAGTCCATGCAGAAGATTGATGCGTGCAAAGTACGTTTATAAGGAAATGTAAGAAGATTTCCACTTGCGGATGATGTAAAGTTGGCTGCTGTTAAGCGGGCACTTGGAAATTGTCTTCCATCCCTGAGCATGCGTCCGTGTGTGACTTGCTTTCAGCTGGTCTAAGGGTTAGTCTACTTTCAGCCACCAAATTGTCCGTTGCACCGAAGGCATGAAATCAAGATGCACCAGTTTTTACACCCGAGCGCATGTATAAAAAGAGAGTCCTCGAAGTTGTATAATGCATATTGCAAATACCGGTTGCTGTAACCCACTTGTGTATCTATTTGCTTTTATCTTTTCTACACACACCATCACATCCCTTTTCCTAGAAGGTGAACCAGAGCCTACAGTAGACCCGACCCTATCTTACCCGAGTCCCACTGACCTCCGCTTCTCCGACCTGGGCTCCAGAGAAGTGATGCTACACTGGACCAACCCTGCTAAGCCAGTCCAGCAATACAGGGTGGTCTACCACAGCGCAGAGGGTCAAAGTCCTCAGGAGGTCAGAGACTTTTCCAGTACTTCATCTTTCTTCGTAGCAATGAGCCAATGTGTGGTCCTATATCCTTTTAACCATCACGTGGAACCTTCCTGAGGAAATCTGAAATGATTTCACACAAGTTGACATTTAAGGAAAGTGACCTTTAAAGCACCCCGCTAAATTGCTGCATCACAGCCAGAACCCAGCAAAGTGGAAGTCTGCCATCAACTGAGTGCCATATTTTCCAAGCATTATTTTCACTTTGAAACTTCTGCTAAACAACGTAGTTTGTTTTTAAGGCCTTCTATGTCCCTTTGGTTTCATTACTGATTTGATAAGAACGCCTTCTGTGTTCATGCCAATGTGAACATTGTTGTCATGGTTTCGACAATCTTACGGTTGCATCTCTGGCAGACTGTAACTTTTCCCCTCTGTCTCCAAGGTGGTGTTGGCTGGCTCAGAGTCATCTGTGCTGCTCCAAGGCCTCTCCTCACAGACACTTTATCATGTGTCCATTTTCCCCGTGTATGAGCACAGCGTTGGCCTGGCACTCCGGGGAACTGTCACCACAGGTGAGACTCATCCTGGTTCATGTCATGTTTTATTTGGGATTCCAGTCTAGGTAGATTGTCTGCGCAGACATTGTGAAAACAGAAGAATAAATTATGAATCCATTGGCCTCACCATCTTTTCTTTTGAATATATGCTTGTCATTTGAATTAGGAGGTTTTTGTGTCATTGTTACAGTTGCCGACAGGGGCAAACGCGCTAAAACTTCAGGAAAGCTGCAAACAAACAAAACAAACAAAGAAGATAAAAAAAAAAAAACAACTGCAAAACCAAAATGCTCCATGTATGAAATGTTGCAAACACAGGAATGCGCAAACAAAAAACATCAGCATATAAATGCAGAAAAAAAATACAAACGCAAGAGTGAACTGCTGCGATCACAGCAACAAAGTGGAAGGGAACATTACAAACAACAAAACAAATGCAAAAAAAAAAAAATGGCGCTGTGATTGCAGAATTTCAGAACACCCCTTATTTTCCTGCCCTCTCCTCCAATCTTTCTCTCAGTGCCACTCTCCATGCCAAGCGACCTGGAGGTGACGGCTTCCTCTTATAGCACACTGCGAGTGAACTGGGGTGCAGCTCCAGGGGCAACCGAGTACCTGATCCTCTACTCAGCACTCAACCACGGAGAGCCGGATGACGCCAAGGAGGTGAGAGCGGGACCTCACTGTTTTTAAAATGTCATTAGGAGGCCCATAGCAATAATAACTGCAATAATTGAACTTTTTCGTGCAGTAAAATCACATTCACAGCAGGTGTCCTGGCCGGTCCATCAATATAACCGATTCACAGTGGGAAAATATTGATATTGTCGCTTTGTATTGTTATTACTTGCTGTGATAAAAAAATAATAACACGATTAATGATATTGTCTAATCTAATGCCCATGTATGCGCAGTTTTGCATTTTATTACAATTTGGGAGTTTTTTTGTTTTGTTTTTTAATAATCTGTAGCCTCCATGTACTGTTAACATCATGTATGGTGGTACTGCTCATGTTTTTGGCCACATATTGTGATGATAAATTGTGAGCTACTCTGTGATTCCCAACCCCATTCATTGATCAAAAAGATTGTCTTTCACTAACTAGAAATACAGTAAAATGAAATCAAATGATGGTAAATGACTGACATAAAGCGTACTGTAATCGTGATGCTTCGGAATTGAGTCGAGATTGTGTGTTTTGTAATTGTCGATTTTATTCTAAAATGACTGCAGGAGAAGTTTGGTTCAGAGCAGACAACGTTAGAGCTGGCCGGTTTACATCCTGCAACGGACTACTCAGTCACTCTTTATGCTCTCTATGATGAAGATTCCAGTGATCCGGTCACGGCTGTCGCTACCACATGTGAGCCTGCTCCACACACACCCTTTTTTTTTTTTTTTTTGGATTGTTTGTTTTCTTCTTCTGCAGTATTACCTCATTGTCTCTTTATTACGCTGTCTCCTGCTTTTTCTATTCTTGCTCACTCTTACAAAAACTTGCCCTCTGTGCTCTTCCATGATTTCATTTTTCCGACTGTAATACCTCTTCAACCAAAGTCGCAGGCATAGTTTGCATTGGAATTGAATTACAAGTGTTTAGATAAAAGTAATTGATGAATGTAATTGCATCACTTTTGTTCACATCATCTTTGCCCTTCATCCTCCTCTGTTTAGTTCCTCTCCCCTCGCCCGTGAGTGTGAGCTTTCCAGTGGTGACCCACAGTATGCTGAGGGTAAGCTGGGTGCCTGGAGCCGTGGATGTCCCCGCTCACAGAATCACTTACAGCACTAACCATGGCAGTGAAGTCAAGCAGGTAATCTCCTCACTAGCCACCATTTTTTTTAAGTGTAGATGAGGACCATTTGTGTTTTAGTTTGGTGTTTTTTGTTGTTGTTTTGTTTGCCTCAAGGCTGGGCTGGATGGTGAAGTTTGGGTGAGCCCATCTGTCTCACAGTAAAAAGGCTGAGGGTTTGAATTTCTGCTCCTTTCTGGAGTTTGCATTTTCTCCCCATGCTTGTGTGGGGTTTTTTGTGGGTGCTCCAGCTTCATCCCACATCCCCAAAACTGTACAAGTTAGGTTCAAGGCTGTATTTACAATACGAATCCAAGTGCCCAATTCTGATTTAATATCTACGTCATTTTTTTTTTTTTTGGTCTGTTTTACAGACATTTAGTTGTGTATGCTTTTGCTGTTGTTTTCATTAATTGCAACATCTAGTTTGGAGAGGTGGAGTTTTCCCATTCGTATGTTTATACTGCATTGGTAGATATTTGCTAAATCAGATTTTTTTTTATCAATCTGGAAGATGGCCGATTCCAGTCCGATCATATCCTGTTCTGTATGTTGTTTTTTTTCTCTTTGCAAATCAATGACATGTACTTATATACACTTGGGAACAAAAGGTTTTTGTGGGTGCTCCAGCTTCATCCCACATCCCCGAAAATGTACAAGTTAGGTTCAAGGGTGTATTTACACTACGAGTCCAAGTGCCCAATTCGGATTTAATATCGACGTCATATTTTTTTTGTGTCTGTTTTACAGACATTTAGTTGTGTATGCTTTTGCTGTTGTTTTCATTAATTGCAACATCTAGTTTGGAGAGGTGGAGTTTTCCCATTCGTATGTTTATACTGCATTGGTAGATATTTGCTAAATCAGATTTTTTTCCAATTTGGAAGATGCCCGATTCCTGTCCGATCATATCCTGTTCTGTATGTTTTTTTTTCTCTTTGCAAAGCAATGACATGTACTTATATACACTTGGGAACAAAAGATCTCAGTTGTGTAAATCAAGCCTAATTTGTGATTGTGCAAACGGTGATTTGTCGAAAACGTGCCTTACAATTGACTGACAACCAGTCCAGATTTTACCCCAATCTCTCCTGCAGGTAGTTTTGTGTAAATATTTTCGATGTAGTAATTGATGGTCCATGGTTGCTCCGGCAACAACAGAGGCACTCGTACCCTTATTATAAACCAGTTTTGCACTCAAGTTATTATTATTATTATTATTTTTTTTTTTTGTTTTGTTTTGTTTTTTGTTTTTACAAACCAGTTTTGCCCTCAAGTTATTATTATTATTATTATTATTATTATTTTTTGTTTTGTTTTTTGTTTTTTGCTCTCCAGATGGAGGTTACCGGACAGAGCTCAGTGCTGGTACAGAGTCTGTCCTCTCTGTCTCCGTATCTGGTATCAGTCCAGTCTCGCTACCCACAAGGCCTTTCTGCAGCCCTCACCAGTAACATCACCACATGTAAGAGACTTGTACCTTTCACCTGGCCTGCAGGTCCGTCTATACAGCAAATAACGTGAATTTATATCCCTCGCAGTGAAAGTACCCTCCCCTTCAGACTTAAGGGTGACCAATTTTTCCGGTAGTGAAATCACAGTACGTTGGGAGGCTGCTGCTGATGATGTCATCTCCTACCTCATCAAGTGGATCTCCCTAGGGGGAGGAAACCTGAGACAGGTAGGGACTTCTGTACTGATTGTTAAGAACTTTCAAAATAGAGTGACATGCAATGTAAATTGGGTTTATTACTTAATGTGTTTTGTAGTTGAAAGTGAGTGGAGAGAGTGAAGGGGTCATCCTGGAAGGCGTGGAGGACAACACAGAATACCAAATCTCTCTGTCCGCACTATATGGAGATGGAGCTCAAAGTGAAGCTGTGGCTATACGCTATAGCACACGTGAGTCACTTATAGTCAATACATGTAGCGCAGTTCACCCACAAAACACATTTTCCTTCATTTGTGTCAGCAGAAATTTAGTGTGAGGGCAGTAAATTGGACCCACTGTTTTGTAACAATGGGGCGGAAGTGCGGAGGGGCTCGCTTACACCCACATTTTCTGACAGTGGCATAGAAAAAAGATTTACCCTACTTGGTTGTTTTATTTCTTACTTGTTGGGTGGACAGGCACTTTCAGAGGCTCATCAGTTTCTACACAGGGCCACCTGAATATTCACATTATTCATAATTTTTGAGGGGGAAACCTATCCACTATTATTCACCACCAGCTGGTGGTCTTATTTCAGCCTTGTTTACGGCATTTCTTTGAGCTATATATATACAGTATAACTCTTTTAACGTTGTTGATGTGAAATGCCCTCAACAGGAATCCTAACAAAGAGGGCCAGTGTCAACTGTCATTAACTACATAGTTTCATTATTAGCTGGGAAATTAAAAAGAAAAAAAGAGGTAACTATGGCTAGCAGACGGCAGCATTGGATCTCTTTTGGATGAGTTCGCCATGTGTAAGCTCCTAAAACATGGCAGACCCTGAGAAATGCGACCGTTACAATCAGCACGTAATTGATCAAAGTGTTTGTCATGTTAAATTTACTACAAAGAGTACGATAAAAGAGAGTAGAGAGATTATTTAAATTTAGAAGTAGAAGTGATGACATAATGTACGTACATATACACACGCACACAGATGCATGGCACGCACACACTACTAAATACTACAGTACTATTAAATAGTGTGCAAATTGTTTGTAGTATATTAAATGTAATATTGTTGCACCGGCGATTCATTGTAAATACATTATTTTGCCAAGAAAAGCACATTTCCATTGTTGTTGAAAGAAAGGGACCGTTCAGATGTTTGAGGCACCACGGAAGCAAATATTGTTAGCATTCTCTCTTCACAAAAAGCTTGTTTTGTGCATTTTTTGTCCAAAATAGGTGATTTTTGTAAAAGCAGCTCATGTTTTGCGAATAAATAAATAAATCATGTAATGACAGAAGAGTGCCGTATCTTTCATTTGGTAGTGTCTGAGTTTATGTAGTCCTAAAATACAATATTCTGTAAGCCTTTTAAGATTAATCAGAATGTTCTGCATTGGCTGCCATTCAAGAGTTTCTATTTTCTGAAAATTGCTGGCATTGAAAGCCTTAATTAATTCCCTGCGCTATTAATAATGTTGCTTCTTTACTTGCTGTCTCTCTAGTGTCTGGTGGGGGACCATCCAGCGTGTCCGTCTCCGACGAGACGCCGGTCAGCATGATGGTCAGCTGGGTTCCCCCCAATGCTCATGTCTTGCAATATCGTGTCTCTTACAGTGCACTGACAGGAGCTGAGAACCAGGACAACTCTGTAAGTGCCAGCTTGTATCGCATCACTTTTTCTTGACTTACACAGTGGACCTGAGAGGCGCGTTGTTGTGTTCAGGTGTTAGTTCCAGGTGGTGAAAAGCATGTGGTGCTGGACTCATTACAACCAGACACACGATACAGCATTCTGGTCACGGCTGAATACCGCAACAAAGAAGGAGGCAGTGGTTCAGCACAGGGCAAAACCAGTAGGTCTAACACACACTAGGGTTTATAGGTAGGATATTTGTACATCAAGTCATGATAGCTTTGGTTTTGCAGTTAATAAGTGAGATCGAATGCAAAAATAAGCCCAAAAATTGGAAGTATTTTTTTTTCCCATTTAAGACACCTATCCCTCCATCCATCCATCCCTCCATCCATCCATCCATCCATCCATCCATCCATCCATCCATCCATCCATCCATCCATCCATATTACAGATAGAGTCCATTGAAATAACTGGATTCGGTGACATGTTGTTATTGACATTTTAGCATTCTTCATTGTCCTAAAAGTATTTTTTAATGCATTGTTTCTATTAAAATATCAAAAAACCTTCAGCACAAAGTCTTTACTGACCAAAGCGTCTCAGATTCACCTCAGAGATTTCATTCCTTGGGTGTAACAAGAAGTTAATAGTTAAGTTAATTATGGCAACAACAAAAAAAAATACTTGGGACCAAATTATAAACTTGAATATACTGTAAACCTCATAAGATATCGTTATCTTCATACTTCTCTGCACCATTTCTTTATTTTTGCTTTATTGAATATCTGATAATTGACGATATTGATTCTCTCTTTGTCCCTTGCTTTCTCTATTTTGGCAGCCAGTCTCCGAGTAAGCAGTGTGAGTGTTGTGCGGTCAGACCACTCCAGTATCTGTGTGTCATGGAGACCCCTGTCAGTTGTCGACGGCTACCGTATTGTTATTCAGTCGGTCAAAGGTAATTTTCGGTGGCATCGTATCGTTTGGTATCATGCCTCAAAGTCTTCATAAATGTGATGAACTCAATTCTCGCACATGTTTCTTGAGTGCAGATAAAGTGTCAATGGAGGAAAGAGTGGATGAGTTGAGCAGCACTCATTGTTTCACCGGGCTCCAAGCGGAGACGCTGTACCGCATCAGTGTGCACTCAAATCTGGGATCAGCAGAGGGTGCTGCCGTCTCCATTCTGCATCCAACAGGTCTGAGGTGATCGCACTTAACACCTACCGTAGCTCTTAAGATAAGATAAGAAAACCTTTATTAGTCTCGCAATGGAGAAATTCCCAATTCACAGCAGCAAAGTTATGAATGGAAGAAGTAGAACAACAAAATATAGGAGCTGCTGGAAAGGCAGCCACTCACGCGGCGCCATCTTGAAGTCAAAATAACAAAAATAACACAACACAACACATAGGACACAGACAGTCGTGCAATCTTCACCACTTTCCTGCATACACTTTGTTGTCTGAAGCAGTTATAGATGAAAGAGGAGAGGATCAAAGTGTCCTTTTACCAGTGGATCAGAGACGTCATGCTGAAAATGTGCACGTCTGCCACAAGCTAAGTTTTGAAAGCAAACACGAAGCTGTAGCGTCCCTTGACAAAAAGAGATTAGTTCACTACTCCTGTCCCACGTAATCCGCTTCAACTCCAAGCCGCGACTCCTGGTGCCACATCCGCATCGGCGCTCTGCGCTAACGCTCCTTTCTTCTCATCGTCGGCTCCTCAAGCCTTGCATCCATCCAGCCGCAGACCGTTCAACAGCACCGATCTCTCCGCTGAACGAAGCGGGGCTGTGAAAATGCTGCCCATTACAGGCGCAAGACACAAGCGCCCCCGGAGCTATCCAGCAACGACAGTCAAATGGCGCCGACATTCCTCCCAATCAAAAACAGTGCTGGCATACCCATGCTGCCGAGACGGCAAAACCACCAAGCACCGAGTCTCCTCCTTGATGAATGTCGTGGCCAAAAAATGCTGAAAACAGTCCACATCAGGTCCACACGACGTAACAACAATTGCGTACGTTCTTCATGATACTGGCGCACTTGTGTTTTTTTGGGCATCGACTGTAATAAGAACAATAGAAGCTGTCGTAATTCCGCTCTCAACCTAAAACCTCAGTGTTGATGCATCCTGAAATGCTCATACGACATGTCTGTGAAAGACAGACAGACTCAAAATTTAGGATTACCTCTCATTCAACACACTCCTTAGGATTTATTCGGGGACACTCGGGCCCTACCAATTTGGATTTATTTTTTAGGCTTTTTCCAATATTTAATACTTACAACAATAAGGATATAAACAGGTCCAACATTTGACTGCTTTGTCCTTTTAGTATTTGTTTAACTTTACAGCAGAGACATAAATAGATTTTTAGGGAGGGTGGGGGCAGGGGGGGAGCAATGTTTGAATGTCATTAACTTTATCTTATGTTGCAATGTGTCAAAGTGTGTAAAAAAATATACAATAACAACAGTAAGTAGTAGAAGTTAGATCTCAAATCGTTTCACACATACAAAAAAGCTCTCATGTTCAGTATTGCATGCGTTTCGAGAACGTGTGTGACAGCATGTGTGGGTTTATATCAAGATGTTCTGTCATAATCAAGACAAATATTTTGGACCTTCATACTTGATGGTGGGATATTGTTGCATTGTTTTGTTTTTTGTTGGTTCTTTCACAGCTCAGGCCCCGGCTAAAATTCCTGTCAACACTCGTCAGTACCCAATTCATTATGAAGGTGAGCATATTTGATCAACTTGTTCACGTGAATGATTATTGATGGCAAGGCAAAGCAGCTTTATTAATATAGCACATGTCATTCACAAGACACCTCAATGTGCTTCACACAACCAAAGGCACAACACCTAGAAGCATCTACAAACATCTTGAGAAATTTAAAAGCAAGGCAGAGAAACCAAAATTATCTTACCAAGAGTGTTGAAAAATGGAGATTGATAACATTTAAACACCTTAATGCATGTATGTAAGTCAATAACACCTCGTGCCCATGAAAAAATGTCTTCATTGAGCAATATTAGCAGATACTGTCTCAACATTGAGATACATGGATGGATAATTTATTAATCCCATAAGGGAAATGAAGTTGCCTTCTTTTGTCATAGTTTGTCCTGAAGTCACCATCAGAAACAGTATTGTTAAAGGTAAGACATGCTGCCTTCACTATTACAGTAACACAAAAAAAAAGCAAACTCCTTTAAAAGAATCTCAGCATTTTCACGACAATTTCACACCTTACTTTATTACGTGTGCATGTCCAGGCTTTGACATGATGGAAGCATTTGGCCTCACGCCAAAAGCCCACTCGTCCGTGGATGGGGTTGCCGCAGAGCCTTTTGTCTTCAACACGCGTCCTGCTTACACTTTGTACAGAGACATCCAGCTGACACAAAGCACCAAGTGAGACGCCGTCTTTCTCTTTTCTATATCTGCCGCCACTAATATAGTGTAGCCTCTGAGGCACAAGTGTCAAGCTCTGGTCAGCGAGGGCCGCTATCCTAAAATAGATGTTTCCCGTTCTCCAACACACCTGATTGAAATGATCAGCTCGTCGGCAAGCTCTTCAGAAGCCTGATACCGCTCCTGATCATTAATCGGGTGTGTTGGAGGAGGGAAACATAAAAAACATGCAGCTTTGTGGCCCTCGAGGACCAGAAATTGACACCTGTGCTCCAAGGTATGCTAGTCAAGTTACGTCAACCAACCATTTGTTCCATTCTCCCGGAACTAAGAAGTGACAGTAGGTGTTTTTGTGAGACTTCGATAGTTGAAATGCTTCTTTTTCGTTCACTCGCTCTTTTCCGCTAGGCTTATCCACCCTGTAGGCTTCTCTCCTGAGCACACCATCAGCATCGCCTTCCGCCTACTGCAGGAAACGCCCAAAGAGCCCTTCGCCCTCTGGCAGCTGACAGATAATGACTTCCAGCCCAAGATGGGAGTGGTGCTGGACCGTGAGTTCTTCATCATCCCACTCTCATTTAGAGTCATTAGATCAACAACTGCACTAGATTCCTCAAGGCGCTCAGTTGTCCACATTACTGTACAAAATGTCTCGAGTCACCATACCGTTGTTGTTTTCGTGAGAGTGTTACAATCACGAATAATAGTGAGCAATGTTATTCAGGCTCAATAACTTGGGAGAATGTAGCTTTCTGAATTCTTTACATTGCTGTGCCTTCGAATTCGGATGGAAGGTCATTGGAGCGTTGTCATTACAACTCAGCTAACAATTTCATTTTGCCCAATACTCCAACCAACATGTATTTAATTTAAGATGAATGTTGACGTTAGAAACTCCAGCATGCCAAACATATTCCAACTTCACGTTGCAATGCTTGAAAGCACGAGATGTTCACTGCTCCATATGTGTGCCATTTTGCCCTTTGAAACTAGCCTTGACCAAGCAGTTGGTGTACTTGAGTCTGGATTACCGTGGCGAAGTGCAAGAGTTGACCTTTGACCAGCCACAGGTCCACAGGCTGTTCTACGGTAGTTTTCACAAGGTGAGCAAATGTGACTCAAACCTTATATAAAAACTTGCCTCAAGGAGACCAACGGAATTTTGTTTTTTCACAATTTAAAACAGTTGCCAGGTGTCTTAATAACTTGTCTGTGCAATGCTTTTGTGAAACTATTCCAAGAATCACGTCAAAACATTTTCACAGCATATTTCTTGCCGTTGGGGAAATTGGCAGATCTGTCTGAGCTGTGGTTGTGATGAAATTGCAGGGCATAGAGATTTCTCTGGTCTGTGGACTCGTTTCAGCCATTCTCTGGTTTTGTGGTCTCAAAATGATTGTCTATAGAAATCCATTTCTCCTCCATGACAGCGTTGCACAAGGTGCAAAGCAATTGCCCGCCACTCTCATACAGAACAGCGGGAAACCTTTTTCCACCGAGTCGCTCATGTTTGCATTCAGTGCCAAAGTCAAGAAGGTGAATTTGGCAGCAGAGTGTGTTGCTTTTTGGCAGAACGCTCAAGACAGTTTTGATGATCGGTCCAAGTTTTGGAAAACTTGTTCGTTGGATAAAATTGCAAGCTTGTCATCATTCACACGGATTGATGCCAGTCACATAAATTGTTGCGCTTCAGGGACTTTTGGAGCCGTTGTTAGAAGAAGCTCACGCAGTGATCTCACTGAAAGCAAGTGCCCAATGAGGTTCCATTGATTATCACTGGCGGATGCAGCATTTCATCACCAAGCCACCAAAATACACCTGTCAAATACAATTACAGAAAGAGGCTGATGAATAAAGATTTATTTGGTTGTGTCATTTCTCTATTAAAAGGTAGGCAGGCACTCATGAGAACAACCTTGAAAAAAATTCAAAAGTCATTTTATCCCCTTAACCTGTAATGATGGTTTGAAAAATAACGGCTGCATCTTACCCAAAGTCTCTTTTAAACGCAGATCATAACATTGGCCTACCAGAGCCACAAGAGAATATCTGGTATTAAGCCACCTTTGCCTTTTACACAGAACCCACCAAAGTGAGATATTGCTGGAACTTTGCCAATCAGATTAGATCATAAAATGGATGACAATGTCGACATCAGAGTCTGGTTTTCATGTAAAAATACAAGTCAGTGACACTAACTCTGTTGCGAAACTTTGCTACCACCGTCCCACCTCAGTTAAGGTTCCCATATTGCCTCTGAAAGCAGAAAATGTTTTCCCCAAATCCCTTTTAGTGCTTACATACAGTACTGCACAATGACAGGTTAATCAATTGTAAAAGTGTGGTTTTATTGGCGATGAAAATAGCTTACTTACTCCCCAAAATGAAGGCCATTAAAAGCCTACGACACATGAAATGTATTTTTATTTTGTTATCATGTATTCATTTTGTCTGTCTGTAACGTGTGTTGAAAATGTTATTGAAGTGTGTGATTCAATCACGTGATCAATTTGTAGTTCAGTGACTGAAGCTTGAATCGCATTCATTGGTCTTTCTCATTTAAATAGTTGTATTGGGACACTGTACTTTCTCAAAATAAGTGGAAGAAAGGTTGCTGATTGCAACAAAATGCTGAATTGGTTTTAAAAACGAAATATTGAAAAGACATTAAAAATGTATTCAAAGTAACCTAAGGATTTTGGCAGGTGCACCTGTCGGTCAGCCAGGTGGGCGTCTCCTTGTCTGTTGATTGCCAGCGCGTGGGCGAGAGGCCCGCCCGACCACTCGGCAACCTGCCTACAGACGGCTTTGAGATGCTAGGAAAACTGACGAGTAGCAGAGGACCCAAAAGTGGCTCGGCTGCGGTACTTTGACTTTTATTCCAGTACGCTCCCCTGATTGGCTAAGGAGATCTGTCACATGTTCAACATTTATATTGTGTGCCTTTGTCTGCAGTTCCAGTTGCAATCATTCGAAATAGTGTGTAACACAACATGGGCTGCTGAGGACACCTGCTGCGAGCTGCCCGCAGTGGTCAGTCTTCTTTCTGTTTTTGTACCATGATAACACTTGTTGCTGAGTTTGACTGGAATATCAACCACCAAGCGGTCCAGTTCAATTTGCCCTGATGCAATCTGGATGATGTGGCTTGTTGATGTCTGTTTGCCCTCAGAGAGACGAGGAAAGTTGTCCTCCTCAGCCTTACTCGTGTACCTGCTCCTCTGACATCCCAGGAGCTGCTGGTTCCCCCGGTCCTATAGTATGTCAAAAATTCTAATAAATGCCCAGAATCTAAAGAATTCAAGTCATTGTACTATTTCTTTGTTCTCAGGGCAAGCCTGGTCCCCGTGGCGTTAAAGGTGACAAAGGTGAACAAGGACACAAGGTAAATGAAGCGAAGCAGTTTCCATTGAAAACAAAAGCAAAGATTCCACTACTGTCTTGGATGTACCTTCTTCAAACTTTCAGGGATTTCTGTCCTCCAACACAGGTGTCAAATTCAAGGTCCGGGAGCCAGATATGGCCCGCCACGTCATTTTATGTGGCCCGCGAATGCAAATCAAACATGTCAACTGAAATCTCGAGCAAAATTTAAAATACTCATATGTAGCATTTTCTTGTGACCAATGCCCTCATCACATTAAGTTAAATAATCGTTGAATAAACTGTTTTTCTTGACTTCTTTATACGTTTTCAGTTATAACGGCCGTCCAAGGTAACTAAAATGTTGCCTGCGACAAAAATGAGTTTGACACCCTTGTCCTACAAGGTCATATTGGTAGCTACAGTACATATTCAAATGGAGAATAAATAAATAAATAAATAAAAGGACAGACATACAGCATAACAGTTTATATGAATAAGATGACCTCTGTGTCCTTCCTTGAAACAATCAATTGTGCTGCAGGGTGAGATGGGTCCTCCAGGCAAAGCTGGACTCGAGGGCGGTCTTGGAGCAGTGGGCAGCAGGGGGCCACAGGGAATGGCTGTGGATGGGAAAGTCGTGAGTAACCTTCCTTGCCATAAGTATTATAACCATACTTACCTTGTACAATGGTCTAAATGGACAGAGGATTGATTATTTAATGTATAATTTTCAGAATAACAGTAATTTGCCCAAGTTTTGCCAACACTGATATAATATTAATTTTTCATAAAACTGTAAGCGCTGTTCAGCAGGTATGGGCAGGAAGTCTGTCAAAGATGATGTTTTGACATTTGAGAAAGGTGTCTCTTGCTTTTATTTTGACATCATCACTTCATGGCAACAATTATAATGGAGTAGAAGTTAAATTAATCAGTTTTTTGGGGGGGCGGGGGGTTTTGCATGTTAAGTTAAATAAATACTTTAGGGCAGGCATGTCCAGCTCCAGGCCTAGAGGGCCGCTGTCCTGCCTACAATCGGGTGTGTTGCTCCTGGGAGAGCTGGAAAACAGGCAGGACAGTGGCCCTTGAGGACCGTTTCGGGCAAAGTATCGTAAAACACTAAAATGATCTGCCTGCTTTCAGGGACCAACGAAGACATTAGTTTATACATTATATGTTTTTTTAAATTATGCAACTGATTAATTGGCTGTCAGAATTTCTTTCTGTCCAATATCAGAATCGGCATCTGCCTAAAAAAAAAATCCATATCGGTCAGGCCCTAGAAAAAAACAAACATGAAATCCATGTTCATAATTTAAAACAGTTCCCAGATCTTTTAATCGCATTTCTCTCACATGCGTTTGTGAAAATACCCAAATGATCAGTAACTGTAGCATACAAGATTACCTTTTCCATGTCATTTCAGACTTGTTGGGCATACAGGCAATCCAGAGACCCAATTATGTACATAAAAGCCATTAAAAAAAAATCAATTTTCTATTACATCCTACTGTATTAAGGATGTCTAAAAAACAACCATCAACCATATTCCTCCTTTTAGGGCCCACCTGGGGAAAGAGGAGAAAAGGGAGATCCTGGAAGAGTTGGACTTCAGGTGACATTGCACAGTTGTCAATGTACACATTGCTGTCAAAAAGCCTTAAAACCCATCAGTTCCCACTCATGACTTGATCTCTGTGTGTCATATTTCTGTAGGGTGTACCCGGGCCTCAAGGCCCAAAAGGGGAGGTGGGCCCTCCCGGCCCCATGGTGAGATGACTGATACAAAAAACAGTAAATGTCGCATTCCTCCATTGTTCTCATCTTACTTTCTGACAGGGCATCCGAGGTGTTGAAGGCAACATGGGTCCCCCTGGCCCCACTGGATCAAGAGTAAGATCGAGTTTTAATTTGCTTAGATGTGTGGATACTTAATGTGTGCATATTGCTCCCAAAGTGACCATAACTTGGCCCGTAACAGAATTATTGAAAGTTCTGTGATATACTTTTATTAGGGTCCTGCATTGGCAGGTCCAAATTGTTGTTGTTGAGCCTCACATACAAAAGCTTTGGGGTCAAACGGAAAAGAAAAAAAAAAGGTAAACTTATGAGAACATATTTGTCCGCCTTTTGCCCGAATTAGCTGGGGTAAGCTCCTGCAACCCTGATAGATTTCGCGTTTGATTTAGCTTTCGATTGGATACATGGCCTGACTTCTTCCTCCTTGTATCCCTTTGTATAATAACGTTTCCCTGTACTTTGTATCTTTACATTTAATTGACGTTATGTTATATTGTATAGGGCTTCCAGGGCATCCCAGGACACCCGGGACCCACTGGGGAGAGAGGTTACACTGGACCTAGCGGGGTGACGGTAGGAACAGAGGGATAGAGAGCGAAATCAGTGAAAGCTGCCATTGTGTATTCACGTGTATATTTTTGGGGACTTCCAGGGTCTTCCGGGGAGTAAAGGGGAGCAAGGAGAGAAGGTAGGTTTCAATAGCCTTCTGCTGAGTTTGAGGGAAATTTTTCATAATTGTAATACAGTGGGACCGAACCTGGTCTTGAGTAATTGACGCTCGGCGGAAAAAGTATTTAATTGCCTATAGATGCCACACAATAACTGCAACGAGACAAAACTATGGCCCGACTAAATTAATCCCCGGTTCAACATAGGTGTATAGCAGCAAGATGTCGCTAAATTTATATTTTGTATTAGACGTGGCTTTGGCCAAATAAAGACGGAAGATAGGTTCCCAAAATAAATCTGCGGATACCAAACTGGGAAATGTGGGGGTTCACTTGTGATTTTGCCCATTGGCCAGTGCTAAAAAAAAAAAAAATGGGGAGTTGTGTTACTGGTGATATTTTTGCATGTAAATATTAAAGTAAAATAATACATTGATGTTTTTCACGTTTTACAGGGGGAACCTCAGTCCATGGCTATGATCTACCAGCTTGTCACAGAGGCGTGTGAACAACTTGTTCACCGTATGAACTCTTTGAATGCAACACTATGATGATAGTATTATAATAATAATAAGAATAACAATAATTATGATCATGTGCAGTGCAGCCTCAAGCTGCATTTCTGAATCCAACAATTTTTTTCTGAAAAGAAGTTGCACGACAGTGAGTTCAAACCCCCAGTCGGGTTTTGTTTTGTAAACATGCATGGATCCTCACACAAGTTTAAATTAGCGGCTTGGTGATGAAGTACTGCAACCATGAGGAAAAATACAATCAATGCTTTTAATGGCGCTCACTTTTTATCTTCACACTCTGGGCTTCTGCTTCCACAAGGAGAAGCCGCTTACGTCATCACAACCACATACGTAGCTCTACCCTGGTTTTCATGGTAACGAAAGCTTTACTTGTTGGAAGTGTGAACAATGGGGACGTGGTTAGCAGTTTATCATTTTCATGAGGCAAGGACCGCCCTCTCAAAACAGGCTCATTTCAGTAGGGCTTTAAAATGGATTTGTAAATGATTTTTCAATTTTGAATTTTGACAAGAGCATGCCACAGATATGTTATAAAGACGTGGAGTTTGCATGTTCTCACAGGGAGCTGCGTGGGTTTTCTCCGGGTACTCCGGTTTCCTCCCACATTCCAAAAACATGCATGGTTGGTCAATGGAACACTCTAAATTGTCCCTAGGTGTAATTGTGAGCACGAATGGTTCAATCAATAAATCACTCAAACTTTATTTATATAGCACCTTTCATACATCAAAATGCAACTCAAAGTGCTGTGCAATTAAAACTTCAAAATTACAACACAAAAAGAGGCCACACCCCCCCTACCCCCCTCCATTTTTTCCACACCCAATACGAGCATGACTTGATGATCTGAATTTATGTTTGTTTGTCAGAGGAGGTGAGGAAGTTGGACATGTTCATCGATGACATGGCCCGGAAGCCAGCTGTGGAGGAGCCCAAGGGGCCTCCCGGGGAACCAGGAATACCAGGTTCCAGGGGTCCACCGGGCTCCAGGGGCAACCAGGGGAATATAGGCCCCCGAGGGAGACCTGGCAGAACTGGCTACCCTGGAGAACAAGGTCCCTCTGACTAAGATTTTCACTTCTTCTTTTTGAGCTGTTCAGAATGTAAATGTTCCAGTATGTATTTTCCTGATCATTCGTCTTCTCTACAGGAAGGTCAGGCTTGTCAGGGGAAAAAGGTGATGCCGGGGCTAATGTACAGGGGCCCCCAGGGGTCAGAGGCCATGCAGGTACTTTTCCTATAAATATTCCAAATAATTATAGAGATAAGGACTCTGTGAACAAATGACACCCTTACACCTTACATCAGTTCCTTTAAAAATAAATGACTTACCACATTATTTGATTGCGAAAACAATGCATCCAAAGTGCCCATGTACATGCAGCCACAACTACGACTCTCTTGTAACTTCTTCCACCTCCACGTCTGAACTTAAACCCAGCTCAACATACAAAGGTGTTTCCCAGTCGAGATGTGTCACTTCAAACATAGTTCCATGGCACCAAGATTCCACAGGATGGCTCAAAAGTGCCGACGAACAAAAAAGTCGTACTTTTCAGTATGATGAAAATTTGCTCAAGATGTTCGCAACTATTCACATTGAACAATAAATACAATTTGAGGTGGATGGAAAGGAATGATCATTTACAGGAATTAAAATGTACAAATCACCACTGTATTATGTTGTAGAGGTCCAGCCGCCATTATTGGCACCCATTAAAATGTAGAACCACGGTGCTGAAAAAACCCCCATCAATATCTTTGTCAAAGTGAACCTGGTTGTAGACCAAAATAAGACCCCAGCAACAATCAAGTGTATGTTTTGGTGTCTTGAATGAAGGAAACATGAAGAAATCATGAAACTGAAACCCTGCAAGACACCTAGGTTTTTGATGGAAGGCCAGAGGTGCTTCACATCAATAAAGACCACAATCATCATCCAAAGCACACAAGAACGGTTGAGAAGGGACACATTTCTACATCAACCGTTTTCTATGGCGTTGTACAACCTGGACTGATTGTTAGCCAGTTGCAGGGCACACAACAAGTATGCACAGTTACATTCACACAGAAGGAAAATTTAGTCTTCAATGGACATTTCTGCTTTTCGAACGCTGAAGGAAATTGCTAATTATTGTGCTGAGCCACACGTGACAATTATGGTGGCAAGGCTTGTATAGAACTGATCAATAAGACTTACTCACTTACCTACGATTTACTATGCATGTGTGTTGTATTGTGTATGTGTCCACAGGTTCCCCGGGCGAGTCCAAGATTGGAAGCTCAGGGCCCAAAGGAGAAAATGGAAAGCCGGGACCACCAGGGATTCCTGGAACTCCTGGCCAGCCGGGTGAGATCGGACCACCCGGAGTGTGTGACAGCAGTGGAGGCTGCCACAGAGTTCCTCAGCAAACGGGTTAGCATTTACACTGCAACGACAACATGTATTGATCTTCTATAGTGCTGGTCCTCTTTAGAGTCAGGGCTGAGATGGACCCTATCCCAGGGGAGAGATAGGGGGTAGACCCTAGGCTGGTCACCAGACAATCCCAGGACACATTCTGTTTAGACAAACACTCAAATTCCCACTTTTGGGTACCGGTAATTTGGAGTCAATGGTGAACACACACAAGCACAGGGAGAACATGTGTACTCCACACAGGAAGGCCTGAGCTGAGATTTGAACCCTTGGAACTGCATAAGTGTGTGACACAAACATTTTAAACACTAGTTTACCCTGTAAAGATTTTTTTTAAAAAGAGGAAAAATATGATCCACGGTCATCCTGGTGGGGGGTATCATGTCACCTTGCATTAAAAAAAAAAAAAACAAACATAGCTCACTTTGTTGGTTTACATCAGGGGTGCCCAAAGAGTCGATCGTGATCGACCAGTAACCTGCGGACTAGTTCACAAGCTGATTGCGAGGGGTGCAGCGGGAAATTTAAAAAAAAAAAAAAAAAAATTGTGTGTCTCTGTATGTGCTATTAGGATTACCGGTATATGTTTTTGTGTTTGTGGTTTAGCTGCTTGAAAAGTAGATCTTTGGTCAAAAAAGGTTGGGCACCCCAGGTTTGCATTATCTACTCCTTGTTTTATCGCTATTGTCGCCTTTCTGTTGCTTTAGCTGTATTGTACTAAGCCATCTAGACAGAGACACAGTCTTATGAAATGTATTCAGAAAATGTGAAGTTTACACCATACTCACTGATGGTAACTCTGTGTCTGTGTGTCTGTGTCCCTCCCCAGAAGACAACTGGAACGGCTACCAGCCTTAAGAGAATGTTGAAATATTAAGTGGTGAAGACATCACAACAGGACGCCTGTTTACATTGACAATGCTTCTGGAGTTCAGTGCATGACAGTATTGCACTTAAGCTGATGCAGTGCTCCCAAGCATAAGTCATCACAAGAGAAAGCGAAATAGAAGAAGGAAGAGGAGCACACGCCCGTGATGTCGCATTGTGAAGAACTGAGGAATCTGCATTTTCCAAAGGCTAAGTTGTTAAGTGTGATCATTTTGATGAGGATGAGAGTTTCCAGCAGCCGCTTCAGTCAGATCTTCCCACTTGGATCCATTCGGTGCTGTATTTATCAGCCATATTCGCACTGATACCTTTTCTTAATTGTGTGTATGTAGTCATGCACTGTGTTGTAGTTAGGTATATGTCTTACATTTCCACTCATTTGACTTAACCTTCTAACCTAAACTGCCTCAAAAACAACGTTAATAGATAATCCATGGTATAAGGTTTATATTATCCATGGTATAAATGACTGTGAGTACGTTGTGTATATGTATATTGTTAATTTTTTGAGTGTATGCAGGTATCCATTTAAGCAAATATTTATGTTCATTTGTAAGTATTCTTCATGATAATACACTTTTATTCAGACATTGTCATTGTCAATTCATTTGTGTGTGTGTGTGTGCGCGCGCGCGTGCGTGCGTGTGTGTGTGTGTGTGTGTGTGTGTGTGTGTGTCTGTGTGTGTGTTTTCGCGTGCGTGTGGGGTTTAAACTGTCAAACATTTATAGAATAGTTTTTCGTACAAATTTTATAATACGTAGTTGTTTCCAGTCGTTTCTATTTTTAAGAGCACACTGGTGGTTCGACGGGTTTCCGTTTCTGGTTTGAAACGAAAATATTTCATAATAATAAAATGCAAGGACGTTAATCAGTACGGTTTGCTGAGATTTCTCTAATTTTACTGCATTAATTACAAGTCTAAATAGTAATTATAGTTGAGGAAATGTCACATTCCCACAAAAATTAAAAGTACAATTCAAAACGTTCTTCTTTATCATGATTGTAAATTACATTGAAACCAGTAACCGGAAGTGATTTGGCGCCTCGTTCAACATTGCTAACTTCAATAGCGGTGAGCCTAGTAGCTACCACGGTTGTCGCCATGTCAGCCAGGAAAACGTCACGCTCAAAGCCAAACAATGGGGATAAATATTCGGTGCTGTTGCCCACCTATAACGAAAGGGAAAATCTCCCTTTGATTGTGTGGCTTTTGGTGAAATATTTCGATGAAAGGTGAGTTCAGGAGAACCAGCAGCGCCGCTCGGATAGGAGTTTAGTGCAAAACGACTCACTGATGAGGTGTCACTCAGCCTAGCTTGGCCCCTCGTTTTAACTATTAAACATTCTTAAGGTTTAGGCTATACCACTTAACGTTGAATGTTAAAGTACTGAGTTTTGCTTGAATTTTTAAACATCACATTATAAATTTGTTTTTCCAGTGGTTACAAATACGAGATTATCGTCATTGACGACGGAAGCCCCGACGGGACACTGAAGGTGGCGGAACAACTCCAAAAAATATATGGCGAGGACAAAATAGTAAATTATTTATATAACATGTATTTATTGTCTTGCAGATACACATTTGATGCGTATATTAAAATAGTATTCGATTTCTCCCTATTAAGCTTCTTCGGCCACGAGCATCGAAATTAGGCCTGGGTGAGTTCATATCTGGTTTTAAAATAATAATAATCAAAAAAAGCATAGTCTTGCGTTACAGGCATTAACGGACAGCTGTTTCCTTTCCCCTCCCAAAATGATAAAGGCACCGCTTATATCCACGGCATGAAGCACGCCTCGGGAAATTTTATCTTCATAATGGATGCTGATCTCTCCCATCACGTGAGTGCAGCCTACAATTCTACTATGTCAATTACGATGTTAGAGTTGACAAAATGTGCTTTCTCCCTTTTTTATGATTGTTATTTCAGCCCAAATTCATCAAAGAATTCATTGCGTAAGTATCAATTTCTTTGCTTTTTTTTGTTTGTTTGCTTTTCAACTGCTACACTGCCAATAGACTGAGGCGGAGTGGAACAGTTCTGTTTCATTTACACAAGACACATCATGTTTTCCCTTTGCTCAGGAAGCAGAAGGAAGGTGATTACGATTTAGTGTCGGGTACTCGATACAGAGGGAACGGAGGTGTCTATGGATGGGACCTGCGCAGGAAGCTCATCAGGTAACAAAAGTGACTAGATGGGAACATGCATGGTACACAAACAGACCAGAGCTGTCGTTTCATGTTCTGTTTTCTGTCTTGCACTCAGCCGGGGTGCTAATTTTTTGACGCAAGTGCTGTTGAGGCCCGGTGCTTCAGACCTAACGGGAAGCTTCAGGTAACCTTGAGTGTGTCCAAAATACACACTGGACCCTTTTATAGGTGTGCCTCAAGTGAAATCTAATAGAAGCACTGTCGTAAAACCCCTGCCTTTCCAGCAATAATAATACTCAAATTAATTTCATACATTCATTGAAAAGATGTATATCATTGGTGACAACTTAATCTCTTATTTCCTCAAATTAATCTGTCACTGTCAGCCAGCGTTTCCAACCTCTCTTGAGCTAAGGTGCATATTTTACATTTGAAAAATTGAAAAAATGGATACACATGTTAATTAGGTGTGGTATCCTCTGCTATCTAGTTGAAGTGGATTTACTTGTTCTGCCTGTAACGATATGTTTGCTGTTTATAGATAGATCTATAAATATATATTATTTTTCGTAACTAATGATTTTCAGCCCGATTAAGGGAAATCGTAATGCGTTTGTTTTGTGTGAACATCAGATTGTACAAGAAGAAAGTCCTTGAGTGTCTGGTTGAGCGCTGCGTGTCCAAAGGTTACGTCTTTCAAATGGAGATGATTGTCCGAGCCAGACAGCTCAACTACACTGTTGGAGAGGTAAGTCGTTCACATAAAACCAAGCCTAGTAACCCAGTTTCAAAAATTTCATTCAAATGTTTGTCATCATACACACATGGACAACATTGCTGGTATTCCCTGAGAAGTGATTAGGGCTGTCACTATTAAATCTAATTTCCCACTTGATTACCGGGTGAATTATTCTATCCAATAATGGAGTAATCAGATGGATTTGTAGCTCCTCACAAGATGCAATGGATGGCTGAGTGGGTAACACCGCTGCCTATGAACATGGGGGACACTGTTTCAAATCCCAGTCATGAACGGTAAAATCCAAGTCGATCGCTAGGCAAGATGTTATACATTGCGATGATTTCTCAGCCACAAAAGCCTTCTGATTTATTTCATTGCTTGACTGCAGTATCATCTTTCCAGCAATAAAAGGGTATTAATAGACTATCAAATGATCATGAGTAGTATGAATGCAGTACAATGTTGACGGGAAATGTCTCTGTGGATGCTATAAGATGGTGTTCGCGAAGTTTCGGGACCCTGCCAAAAAATTGTGTTGACCTATTTTTGTGGTCAAGCTATTCGACTCAGTAGACTAGCCCTAAAACTGACAATAACAAAACAAAATCAATCGGACGAAAATACTATTATGGAGCACAGGGGTGCTCAACCTTTTTTTGACCAAAGGTCTACTTTTCAAGCAGCCAATTAACCTCGATTGACACGTTACCGCACGTGCACACATAACATTCATGCATTCTGAAATCCCTGAAAATAACATACAGCCTTCATTTCATGACTAAATTGAGAAATTTGGTGACTGATTTGACTTTTCTTTTAGGTTCCCATCACCTTTGTGGATCGAGTCTACGGCGAGTCCAAACTGGGAGGGAATGAAATTGTGTCATTTGTGAAAGGCCTTCTCATGCTTTTCGTCACGACATGATCACTTCATATGTGCAATACTGGGTAGCCATGACCTGCCAGAGTTGTACATTTAGGACTTTTTACAATATTAATTGGCCCCTGATATGTGATGAAAAAGTTTCCCCACCCTTGGTTGAAGCGGTGACTGCAAATGATGAGGTTGTACATTCCCATCCTGCTCCTTCTCCTCCTCATTCGACTTTGCACAAAGTGTGTATGATGTCTCCTCATTCCTAAGGCACACAACTTTAGCCAAAAGTAATGCTGGATGTCAGATTGGATACGCCATGAATGATTTGAGCAAAACACCAATTACTGGATTGTTCAATAACAATGATTTCAAAAATACAAGGATTCCTTGAGACACAAGTATGTTGTATTTGAGTCTAATTGTGCCAGATATGATGTCGACCTTACAGTGCAGAGGTCGTGGGTTCGATTCCGGCTCCGGCTTTCCTGTGTGGAGTTTGCATGTTCTCCCCGCGCCTGCGTGGGTTTTCTCCGGGAACTCCGGTTTCCTCCCACATTCCAAAAACATGCATGGCAGGCTGATTGAACACTCTAAATTGTCCCTAGGTGTGAGTGTGAGCGTTGTTCGTCTCTGTATGCCCTGCGATTTGGCTGGCAACCGGTTCAGGGTGTCCCCCGCCGACTGCCCGGGGACATCACCCCTCGTGACCCTTGTGAGGACAAAGCGGTTCAGAAAATGGATGGATGATGTGTCCTAGATGGCAGGGAGTACTTTGTCGTCCCCCCCCCCCGACCCCCCCATATTTGTTTTTCACCAAGAATGTTTTTTTTCATGGGTTTTTACACTATACAGTACTTACTATTATGCCCTCTTATGAGAGCCACAGTCAAAACTGCACTTTTCAACTATTTATTGAACGCCAAGTAAACAATACAACACACACAGCAGATGATGTCTGCCACAGCGGACACCCAGGCATTCATAAGCGTGTGTGAGTGTGTACACACAAGCGCCACCCCACTAGGTTCCGCCTCTTAAAGGTGTATGAGCATACTCTGTTTTTAAGACATTTTATAGTTGCAGCTTTTTGTGTTCAAAAATGTGTTTCAATATGTTTAAGTGTGTTTAAAGCATTCACAATGGGCTTTCACTTATTGCATTGTGGGTCTGGAACCTTTCCGTGAGATGTACTCTGCATGTTTTTTTTCCACAATTCAAAACAGTATGCAGGTGTCTTAACAGATATGTGACATGCTTTCATCAAAATACCACAAGAATCAAAATTGTAGGCATATTTTTAAAGCATATAAAAACATTAAAAATTCACATTTCCCTATTTCTCATTTAACCCTTTGGTCTTGTTCGATTTTACTATTTCGGATGGTTTGTGTCTGTTCTGTGCCCGTACAGGCATAGCATGTAATTAATTTTTTTTTTCTTCTTTTACGCCATAGTATTTTTAACTGACATTTGTTCTTCACCATCCATCCGTTTGCTATGGCACATGTCCTCATTGCGGCAGAGGATGAGCTGGTGCCTCTCCCACCTGACTTTGGGCAAGAGGTTGGGTTGACCGTCGACCTCGACTGGTTACGGGGCACAAAAAGATGACCATTCACACTCACTTTCAAATCTAAGACCAATTTAGAGGCTTCAGTTAACATGCATGCTTTTGAAGCAGATTTACATGGGACAGGAGAAGAGAGCCAACCTCTTTTTCGTTAATGGATGCTACAGCTTCTTGTTGCTTTCAAGCTTAGCTTGTAGCAGACGTGTGCACATTTCAGCATGATGTCTGATCCACTGGTGAAAAGGACACTT